ATTATTATTGGCTAGTATTAGTTTTTAGGAAGCAGGTACTGTTTGGCCATCCAAGCCACTCCACAGAAAAGCCTGGAAAAAGAAGACACAAGATTGAGTTGTTTGTTGCTGATGATTTTGACATGTTGTGAATCAGCTTTGACATACTCACAGTACTGCGGCCCACCAGGATTTGTCCCAGTATGCCTGGCGGCCAGTCCAACTTGAACAATGAAATACATGAATCTACAACGTAAGAGGATGGTGTCTCTGAGGCCAGAACACACTGCTTTGTATAAATATTTTAAGAGCCTGATGTTGCTAGAGTTTCAAGTTGTTATTGAAGTTTCTCTCATCAGTATTCATCACATTCATGTTCCATTTTCTGTTTGGAGTTGTTTTTTTGGCCCAACCATTCAGTGAAGTGAAGAATCTGAGTGGACGTGGCTTGAGCTGGTTTATGAACAGGAATCTGAACACACACACAGCAGCATTTGTAATATCTATTAATCTGAGGAACTATTATTTATCTGTCTATTGCCTCACCGATATATCAACTACATATTTCACATCTAGATTCAAATCATTAATCTGCGAAGGTTGGGAGTTTTAATTTGTGATACCACCTTTAGTTAGAAGAAAGACATCTGGTGTATTACCAGTGTCACAGTCACTCTTTGTGATTCTAACTGACAGTGTTTGCAAAAGTTTGCTTACTGCAGCTGTATACCTTAATATTTGGCTTTAACTCTCACTTAGCAACACCTTGCTTTGTGTTACAACAGTCACACATCCATATTTGAGAAATGCCTGGCAAACACCTCCATCTTAGTTACTGTATTGGAATAAGTGGAGCAGCTCTGGTTACTGTTAACAGAGGTTGAAATGTAAATGAAAAATTGTGACGTTAACATTCAGCACTGTGAACACAAAGCGTATGCCACCTCTTTCCTCTCCAGTCTGACCATACAAAGTCATGATTCGACACAGTTTACTCCTGTTATTCTAAATATTAGGCTCTCAGGTCTGTCATCGAGAATCCTCATAGGCCATAGTTTCTGCTTGACGATATTAGAGGTAGGTTCAAAAAGATGGATGAGTAGAGTAAGACCTGTAAAATGAAAAGTAAGCAAAGGGGGTAATGAGTTAAAAAAAAATTTCAACTTTTTTTCTTTTTTTTTTTTTTTTTTAACACTTTGGTCATCAGATCTGAATTGTATTAACATGCTCTTTCCCAGTTTTGTTGCTTTTTCAGACTCGGATTCAATATCTTCCCTCTAGTAATATTTAGATTGTGAGCCAGGAAGTGACATGGCTTCACATGTGTAGCCAGCTGATTTTATTCTCAACTGATATGTGGTGTGGATAAAGAACACAAACTATGTGCTTCATAGTTTCAATAAAAAACAGAACATTAATGAGATACAACTGGTAGATGTAGCTGTAAAGCTATTTAAATAATCAATAATGTTTTCAAACCAACATGCCATATTTACTTGTTCCATCTTGTCATTTGAGGATTTGATGCTTTTCTTTGTCTTGTATGATAGTAAACTGAATATTTTGTCTGACATTTTATAAACAAAATGATGAACATGGTACCTAGTAGTATTTTTGTGAATGTTCTTGTTGGAAAAAGTGTATGGAAGGAGTTGGAGCTACTTTAACACTAATTAAATTCTGAGCCTACAGGCAGATGAGGAAATATCAGTGCTTCCCCTGCCTTCGCCCCAAAGCAATGCACTAAATATATTCAGAAACTGCTTGGATAATCAACATGTGATTAGCATTATTTGAAGTTCCTCTTTAGCTCATTGTGAAAGATGTCGAGCAAAATCTTTTACTTTTTGTAAAAGGTAATATAGTAATTCCTTGTCCAATGCATGAAAGAGAGAATTGGTTAGAAATGCTACAGTAGTAATTCACCACATACCAGTTGGGCCTTCCTTTATGATGCTTCACAGTTATAAGGAGCAGTTTTACCACAGTCTGTTATGGATTAGGTGTCTTCTCTCTGTCTACTTGAGGCTCCTCTCAGCTCTTATCAGCTGTGACCTTCACGCCCGCCATTTCTTTTGAACCAGTGATGTCCTCTCCAGCGGTCAGTCTCTCATTCAGATATGACTGTTCAGCTGCTGTTTTGAAGTTTTGAAGGTGGCAGTGACATTTCAATCAAGCTAGACTCATCATTCAATTAACAAAAGATATGAATTCAGTTAAAAGACATTATCCCCTATTTAGTCTTTTTAATCATGTACCAGTAACTTGTACCATTTAACAAAGTGACTGATATAGATATAAAAAAAAACAGGTTAAGAAAGGTTTTTAAGTTTTAAGATAGTCGAGGTGTAAATTAATGCAACAAACAAGCCTGTTTTCAAAATTAACATGCACCAGGATCATAACCAGAAATGCCAATGCCTCCGCCTGGCATTTCAAGGCGGGACACAGGCATTGAAGACCCCAAATGCCTCCCAATCTGTCAGCTCTTTGCAATTTGCAGCCCTGTGCACGACAAGCCCCAGAGCAGTAAACAAAGCTGCTCTTCAGGAATGTTGGGGAGGAGCCTTAATAGTGTAGAAAGTCTTTAAAGTTGGTGTTGGTTTGAATTTTCTCACTTATCTTGCTGGGTATGTTGCGTGTTGAATGTTTTGTCCATCTTGGCAACCAGTTCTCATTTGTGTCTGGTTAGGATTAGTGTGTATGTTAAAAGGGCTATTGATGAACAGAAATATTACTGAAAATAATTTGTGTCTTGCCAGACGTTAGAGGCCCCATAACAAGGGAAACAAAAATCACATTGTGCTCTGCTGTTTTTGTTAGATGTCAGACTCTGTCCCCCATTATTCTCCAAGTCGTCAACAATTTTGTCTGACAATCATCATGTTTATCTGTCCCCCTTCCCCACAGTACTATGATAACTATCACTTAAGTACTGAGAGGAAACTTGCAGTTAGGTTTGTCTTTAGGCCTCATTTCACAGGATATGGTTGTTTTGATGCCTGTACTCTGTGACCCACACTGCACTGCAGCAAACATATTGCAATTTTTCACTGAGCATCCACTGAAGAAAAACAGTCACTGGTTTTACCTCTACAACACTCATAGTTAACTGTGAAAATATCCTTTTCTTGTGTAGCATGAATATAAATGTCCCTTTTATCAACAGAAACTTTCACAAGTTTGTGAATTAGCTTAATATCTATCAAGGATAGACTATTTAGGGACACAGGTGTTGATTCAGCTACTGTCAACATTGCCTGATTTCCTATGTGTATGGTACCCGGGGCCCATACACAAAGTTGGTCTGAGTTTCTAAGTTTGAGGATAGGCAGACAGTACAGGCAGTGTGTAACTGGGGTTTAAGGGAGTTTCAGGAGGAGGTATGAAACAGCCTGACCAAATATGGGAACAAACACATTCACGTGAACACACCTACCGCACCTCTTGTCTGTTGTGTCTGATATGGAGTTGTGACCTTAGCTGGAGGCTTTTTTCTGCAGAAAACTTGTTAAGTATAAGTTCTGACTCACCACCAAGAGTATTTTCAAGTTGCTGTCACGCTAACAATCTTTATCCACTTTGGAGGTTTGTGTCTTTCCTTATTTTTATTTTTTGTGTTCAGTGTGGTAAAGAGGCATCAATGCTCAATGAACCACAGTTATTTCTTCCTAGTTTATATTCTTTAATGTGGCAGCCTAAATGAGAAATTAAAGCTGTTGCTGCTGCTCTGTTATAGTCACTACATGTCTGCTGTTAGACTCATTATGAGTAACACTGGTGAAGACCAAACATCTCAAGTGTAAATGTGACTGTTCTCTCCTTTACGCAACATTTTTTAGTAAATCTGTTCAAGCCTGTCATCCCCCGTCTCTTTCTCGTCGACTCTTAGCTGATAAGACCTGTTGAGATAACGAGCCACTTTTTACATAAGCAGGAAACAGCACGACAGCTACCAAGCTGCAGTGAAGTATGTAGTAAGTATGGAGGGTCGTGGGAGTGTGGATGAACTGGCAGCTGACGCCAGCTGAGTGTGGGGACATCATTCCTCCACATTTGGAAGAGGCAAAATGAGTAACTCTCCTCCCCACTGATGCCTATTGGTAGCTGACGTAATTCACCGCAACCTGAAGTCTGCTTTTATTGAAAACATTTTCAAGGGGGAATTGTTGTGTTAATGGTATACTTGGTAATAGTAGGTTTCTCAAAGTGTTTAATAACTTAATGTTGGCCAACTTAAAATGTGCATAGTGCAGATGTATTACATAGAAAAATTAAAATAGTGGGTCTCAACCTGGTATAAAAAGATGGTTTTACAGTAAGCAGTGTTTTTCATACAGAAGCTCTACTTTGGCAGTCCACCCAGGTTGATAAAATCACTCAGTTTCAACTTTTCAAATGAACTAATTTTTGGACACACACCTATCTGAGTTTTGTGTGCAGCAGCAGCTGAGTGAAGACTAGAGGCTTCTCTGTGTTTAGCCGTCTAGTTATCCTCTGACGATAGCCTGTATGTGAGGCGTTTAGGGAAAATCTGTAATTTGTAGCTATAGAAAATAACCAGGGTTACACCCTCCCCTCTCTAAACTGCATGAGTCTCTGCATGTACATCCTCCACAGGCCGCACCACCCACCACCACAAGTAAAATCTCCTTCTGTGGGAAACACTGCAGTTAGTGTGATAGAAGGTGCAAAAAAAAGCCTCAACCTTTTCCTGTGTTTGCACACATGGTGATTATGTGATCACGCTTTGAAATACTGTGTCACTATGAAACACTTTGGTTATGTTAGCTTTCTTGACTATACTACACATTCCTTTTACGTCTGCATAAAAAATGTACAGGTTCTCTCTTGTGTGTAGGTTCTCTTAGAAGAAAACACTGCCATGTTAGACGATCTGTGCATTCTCTCTACTGAACACATGTATGCACCTTTCAGGCTTCAAATGTAGATCTGTTTGTTTCATCCAGCACTGAGTTTTTTTTTTTTTTTTTTTTTTTTTTTTTTTTTTCTTGTTACAGATGGATCTGCGGCTACTGTTAATAGCATCATTATCAGCGGTCCTTGGTGGCAGCTGGGCACAGCCAGGTAAGAACACAGATAAATTGTAAATTTGTTTCGATTTTTTTTCTGTCTTTCTTATCTTAACTGTTAAATATTAGCTAATTCATAGTGTAGCATCCGTTAATGGTCACACTAGTGCAACACAGTTACCATGGTATTCAGTGTTAAACTTTGGACGTCTCTTGATTTGACATGTTTTGATCTGTCCATTGACTTTCTCTGTGGATTAGAGAAATTTATGTTTTAGACAAGTGTCTGGTTTTAAGTGCACAATGCAGTACAGTGATAGAATGAACTAAAACTTCCTTGCTTTCTTCCATTTTTTTACTTGCCAAATGTTGTATTTCTTCAGAGTTTTATGGCTCTGTGGGTGAAGTCATTTGTTGGTGAACTGCCTCGAGCTTTTCTCAGCATGACTCAGTTTTCTTAAATGGGAAGAGGTTGTGTGTTGCAGCCAAAAACTGAAGCTGGTTTGAGTTAGTGAACTAATGGAAACTCTGTTTTGTCATCTTGGCTTAAAGGAACTTGTGTTGTCTCTTTCAGAGGGGAGCATATGCATCAAAGCAAACGCACAGTCATGTGGGGAATGCATTCAGGTCGCCGAGACATGTGGATGGTGCTCAGATGAGGTGAGTTGAATCAGTAAAGCTGCCACTAAACAATTTTATCATGTGAATGAAACCTTATCTAGAAGATCTTAAACTGTGGGTGCAGTACTGTCAAGAGTTTCCTACGTGGTCTGTGTGACAGTGTTGCCAAATGCACACAGCTGGTTGTCAATATATTATTCATAAAACGCTACAATCTTTAATGAATCTAAAGAATCATATTTAATAATGTCATCTTTGACAGTCAAAACAAATCTGTGTAGAAGAGACTACTGTTTGATCTATTTAAAACAAACATAATCCAGAGATACTTTTTAGGTTTAGGTAACAAATGGGTTTTTATTGATAATATTAAAAAGGAGGTAAGGTTCAGAAAGTAAGAAAATTTTTCCTTGTTTCCTCAAATTATTTTCTGTACTGTATGCACACGAAAATAAATATACATATACAGAAACCAAACCTTACTCAATAAGTATGTACACAAATGCAGAGTAGCATTAGAGAGTTAAGAGATTAAAGAGACTTGTTCTCTCTTTCTGTTCGACCAAAGACAAGTAACCACAACCACTCCATTAATTGTAAACATGAGTTCTGCTGATGCTTGTCTCACAGTGGAAACTTTGGCTGAATGATCCTGTTTAATTAGATGTTTTCTGGACCCAAGACAAATATACATGCTGTGGCAGCAGCACACGACTGAATGAACAGACCGTAGTAGAGGAAAATACTGACTTAGAACAGCATGAACATGAGGTGAAAATTAAGTTTGTTCACTTCTTCACAGCTGGGATATATCTATAGCCTACAGGACAAATTGATGACACATGCTATAGAATTTTATATAATGCTGTGTATCAAATATTTGAAATTTGAAATTCTACATGAAATTAATTGCATTGTGGGGAACACCATGTTTTCTTTCTGCAGGAACATGAGGTTAATGTAAATCAGTGGAACAAGGCAGTAAATTGGAGTCATTCATACTGTGATATGAGAGCATGGAAACCCTGCTCTATTATTATAACAGGAAAAAATCAGTGTGAGAAACGAAAAAGTCACCTGGAAACAAAGCTTTGTAATCCAGTGGTTTACTGCAGTTGTGTAGATGCAAGTTGACACACAGTGTGGCTGAGGAGCTCACATGGCACCATGTGAAATTTAGTCAATGGTCATTAACTCATAATAACAGGCCTGTTTTGTTCAAATTAGTCTTTTTTTTCTGAATTTTAAAGCTGTCTTTTAGTAAAGTTAAACAGATATCTGAGGGTATTTAACTCTATTGTTCATAAGTGAAATGTGCAGTGAATTCTTCAACCTGTTTTGCTGTCATATCTACATCGCTAATGGTTTATGGTTTACCTCCAGTAGTCATCCCCAAAATATCACCTCAATGTATAATTATAGACTGTATCAATTAACTTATTTGTCCAAAATAGCGAGATTTGGCCTTGTGAATCAGCACACTCTAAAACTATTCACCAAGGTCAGTCTCATGGTGAATAATTAAAAACCTCTCCCAGGGTTGTGGGTTTTTGTTGATTTGTTATGTCAGGACAGAGCTGCTGTTAAATCTTGTCTGCAGAATGCTGACTCATATCTACCCCCAGTCATGAAACATGACTGCAAGTATCAGTACAGTTGTGTTGTTTTTTTTACTAGGAAAGTGCAGTACATTAGTTTTATCTGAGAGGGCACTTGATGAGCAGCCTTAACTCACACTAAACTGACTAAACTGTAAATCTCCCTCCTTGCGTCACCTCCTCTTATGTACAGTATTTTCATAAAAAATGTGTCTCCCATTTCTGTGGTTTTTAAACTTTTGCATAAACCTTGTCTGATGTGTATGGTGAGATACAGGGGAGAAAAAAAGGGCCCACTGTGGGTCATGTGGTTTTGAAATAATTAGGTCAAAACATTATTTTTGTTTTGACTGAGTTCATTGTCTCAAGTTCTCCTCCACTATGCCTTGTGGCATATCATGTGCATCCAATCTATATTCTTAGCCAGGCCTCAGAGTCATCTGTTTCTATTTGTCTCCTGCTTCGTATGAACAATGTCCTAAAAAAATAGAGTTTAAGGCAGTTTGTGTAAAATAGATTGATTTGCAGAGGCCTCATTGGTTGAAAAAGTACTGACTTTATCTTAGATACTCTGCCATCTGAAAGAATCCTGAAAATTGTATCTGCAGTATTCATACCCTAGAGATCAGTGATTTTCTTAGGTAAGCTGAAGCACAACTTTTGGCATCACAATGTTCTTCCAACAAAATCTTAACTGAATGAGGCTGTGAACCTATAAAGTGACATCAATATTTTATGTAAAGTCCTGTTGTAATGTGTTTGTCAGTATGTATTGCGTTAGTGTGTTACTAACTTGTCAACATGTTTTGTCATGTTAATCACACAGAGACAAATTCCTGTACATTTACAGGACCTTTCCAGATGTTTCTGCACATAAATCGTGAAAAGAAATTTAGAAATTTTTATCAGTTGGTGAAGACATTCAAGTTAAAAATGTCTTTTGATACTTAAAAGAACATGACACAGATTAGATCCCTGCAACAGCAAGGTTTCCATCTCACAACAAAACTTAAGCTGGAGGAGCAATATTTAATAAAATTTAATTTACATATTAGTACAAATTTCACTTAAAATGATCCTCATAACAACCTCTTCTTTGCTAATTTGCAGAATTTCCTCACTGTGGGTGAATCCAAGTCAGCCCGCTGTGATGATCTGGAGTCCCTGAAGAATAGAAATTGTGACGTGACCAAAATTGAGAACCCACGTGGAAGCATTACCACTAACAAGAACAAGCCTGTCACCAACCGCAAGAAGGACATGGCTGAGAAGCTGAAGCCTGAGCAGATCACCCAGATCCAGCCCCAGAAACTCACACTGACACTTAGATCTGGTAAATAAAAATAGCCAAATCTTCTAATGCTTTGCCAGAGCTGGAGAAGAGTCTGGCTGAAACTGCTGTTTTATTGAGTATATATTTTTGTAGTTAACCAGAATCAGGGCAAAGCAGTCTAAGAAGTCGGCCTTCCATCAGCTCCAGAGCAAAATTGGAAGTCATTATCTCTGTGTGAAATGTTCTTTGAAAAAGACTAGATTAATACAGCCAGTTTTATCAATGCTGTATGTATACAAGTCCATATAATTAGTCTTGACACTCATTACAGATAAAAAGCAAGATTTCTTATTGTAACAGAAGGCTTTAAAAATTCCTTCATACCTGCTCCTTCAAAATTATTAATTACCAGTGACTCGTTCTGTTGTCCATGTCAGACTGGGCTGGTGTAGCAGTAACTGTGAACAGTGAGGCACAAGTGCAGGTTTTAGAGTAGTACTTTAGCTGTGGTCACATTGCATAATCTTGCATTAAATTTTGTCATTTTTTTGTCTTTAAGGTGAGCCCCAGACTTTCGAGCTGAAGTTCAAGCGTGCTGAGGACTACCCCATCGACTTGTATTACCTTATGGACCTCTCCTTCTCAATGAAAGACGATTTGGAAAACGTCAAGAACCTTGGCACTGACCTCATGAGGGAAATGCAGGAGATCACCTCAGACTTCAGAATTGGTTAGGAAAACTTTCACTCCCAATAAAGGAATAATAAACAACAGAAAAGCTGTGGTGTTAGAAATACTTTGTAAAATCCTGAGTAAAATACATTCTCCTTTTTCTCCCCCACCCTTCAGGTTTCGGCTCCTTTGTGGAGAAAACTGTCATGCCTTACATCAGCACCACACCAGCCAGGCTCATCAACCCCTGCACAGGGAACCAGAACTGTACCAGCCCCTTCAGCTATAAGAACGTCCTGAAGCTGACAGAAAACGGAGATGAGTTTAATCGGCTGGTCAGTCAGCAGCAGATCTCAGGAAACCTTGACTCTCCAGAGGGGGGCTTCGATGCCATCATGCAGGTGGCGGTCTGTGAGGTGAGAAGGGGCAAGATGCAATAGTGTGTTTTTAGTGGTTGCTTCTCCTGTCAGCAATCAGTAGAGGCTTATTTTACCTTTGCCCTGTATCTAGACAAATACTAAAAAAAATACTAATGAGGAACTCTGTTTGTCCCAACCTTCCCAGGAACATATCGGCTGGAGGAATGTGACTCGTCTGCTGGTGTTTTCCACCGATGCTGGTTTCCACTTTGCTGGAGACGGCAAACTGGGTGGCATTGTCCTGCCCAACGATGGGAAGTGTCATCTGGAGAACAACATGTACACTATGAGCCACTACTATGTATGTAGCTTATCATTTATTTAATACGCATAATGTATCCAGTAAGAGTTGAAAGAGCATGTGAGATAAGCATGATCCTCTTACTAATGGTCTCAATTTTATATTGATGTTAAGAGCTGTCTCTAGCCAGACCTACTCTTTACCACACAGTTCTTCTGTTATTAATATAAATGCGTGTGTGTTTCAGGACTACCCCTCCATCGCCCATTTGGTCCAGAAACTGAGTGACCACAACATCCAGACCATCTTTGCCGTCACTGAGGAATTCCAGCCTGTTTACAAGGTAAACTTAGTTCTCTGTACATTGTACTTGTAAAAGGAGTTTTTATTTAATTTGTGTCATATAATTCAAAAGTAATGCGCACATTTAAAATGTCTTCTTTGTATTGTTACTGTTTACAGGAGTTGAAAAATCTTATTCCTAAGTCAGCTGTTGGCACGCTGTCCTCCAACTCCAGCAATGTGATCAAACTTATTATTGATGCCTACAATGTGAGTCAAACTGCAAAGTCTTCACATGATGTCTGACTGATTTAGTTTATATTAATACTTATTTTTGCACACACATTTTTTTGACTTGATGCTGTGGAAAACTGCCCTTCCTCCCTTTCCCTGGCTAAATAAAGATGACATTGAAACTCCACTAGAGGTCCCGTACTTGCAAGTTTTGTGCAAAGACTAATCATTTTTCAGTGAAAATGAAAAGTTGAAGGCAGTTTCACAATCCCCTCCTGACTTACACACATAATACTTGCACACATTCAGGTTATATGAATGCTGTCCATCTAAACAAATCAGTCAAAGATGACAGTATTGAGTATTTAATCTTTTTCAATCTTTCTTCCTCTTTTCTTTTGAACAGTCTTTGTCATCTGAGGTCATTCTGGAAAACGGCAGGCTACCAGAGGGAGTTTCCATCACCTACAAGTCCATCTGTAAGAACGGCGTCGAGGGAACAGGAGAGAACGGCAGGAAGTGCTCCAACATCTCCATTGGAGACGAGGTAGATATAATCCTTTTTTTGCAATTTGTGTACACAGGGGAAAATGGACAAAAATAGATTCTTAAGCATCTCAGCTCATGTGTAATCCACGTAGCACAGGGGAAAAGTATTATTTCTGGGATGTGAAGTTGATAAATGACTATGTCCTACTGGTTGAGGGAACTTGCTGTTCCAAACTGAGAGAAAAAAGGATCAAAAAACAGTTTTAAAAAGTTACTTCAAAATAAACAAGAAAAGAGAAACACTTCACAAGCTAATAATCTGAGTTATGTCTGGAAAATGGAACTATTAGCTTCAAAGTATCCTCCTCATTAGGTTTAATGACCCTATAAACTCCCCTCTGGTTTCTAGGTCTCTTTCAAAATTTCCATTGAATCCCAGAAGTGTCCATCACATGGCAAATCTGAGGTCATTAAGATTAAACCGCTGGGCTTCACTGAGGAGGTGGAGATAGTTCTGAACTTCATCTGCGACTGTCAGTGCGCAGCAGAAGGCCAACCCAACAGTGACAAGTGCCATGAGGGCAATGGGACCTTCGAGTGTGGAGCCTGCAAGTAAGTATCAAGCCAGGAAGATTTACTAGATCAGTTCCGCTGAACCATGTGCAATGAAACCTCAAGGAAGTGTGAGCTTTCAGTTTCCAGCTACAGCTGTAAATCTTTAAAAAGGTGCACTTCTGTGGTACATGGTTCAATAAAGGAGGGAGAAGGGCCTGTTTTTGCTTTCTCCACCCAGATAATCACAGCCGTTGGTTCAGAGTAGTGTTTTTCACTTGATGTACATTTTCTCAAACATTTAGTAATCTATTTATTAATTCTCTGCTTGTTATGTTCTATTGTGAGAACATGTGTTATTACTGAAATGTTTAACCTCTCATCTTCTGCCTCAGGTGTAATGATGGACGTATTGGGCGTCTTTGTGAGTGCAGCAAAGACGAAGTCCGGACAGAGGACCTGGATGCCAACTGCAGAAAAGACAATGGTACAGATATCTGCAGCAACAACGGCGACTGTGTCTGTGGCACCTGCGAATGCAAGAAGAGGGAAAATCCAGCAGAGGTCTACAGTGGAAAGTACTGTGAGTGTGACAACTTCAACTGTGACCGCTCCAACAACAAGCTCTGCGGAGGTGAGGACTGTGTATATATATAATGACATTTCAAACACTGACATGGTTTTATTGAAAGCCCTGCGGTAACCTCTGCCATTGCCTGTTCTTCACCAGGACATGGGCGTTGCGAATGCAGGAAGTGCATCTGTGATGCCAACTACACCGGCAGTGCCTGCGACTGCTCGCTGGAGACCTCCACCTGCCTCGCCAAGAACGGGCAGATCTGTAACGGTCGTGGTACCTGTGAATGTGGAATCTGCAAATGCACCAACCCCAAATTCCAGGGTCCAACCTGCGAGATCTGTCCCACCTGCCCCGGTGTCTGCGCTGAGCACAAGTGAGTCTGAGGCTATATAATAATGAATGTATCAATGTATCAATGTAGGTGGGGGTTTTGGGTTTGAGCCCCAAACTTGTCTCTGTTTGCATCTCCTTCTCTACTGTTTTTATGTGTATGTTTCTTCTCGGCCATGCCATAGCTGCCTTTGAGGGCATGTTCTATAATCATCAATTAACAAACATATATATTATATTAGACTCAAAATGTTTCAATTTGATTACTGTTAGGCCAGCAAATAAAAGAATAAATGAAGTATTCATTATTCATGCACCACATTGACATTATTCCTGGGTGTCTTACTTCTTTGAAGTGGCATATAGACATTAATTTTGGGACATAAGATAATTTAGTTCTACAGTATATGAAAAATGATTGAACAGTTGTTGAGACTTTATACTTTTGGTATTATCATCTGAGTATTTCCAAAACTTTGGCAATAGTTCTGTCTTAGTAACCTTGGTAACTATTCACCACTCATTGGTCACAATGTGAGTTGGTTCCTCTTAGACTTCACTTAATAGATGTTACACCATGGAGAGTTAATCAACCCTGTGTCTATGTTTCTGCAGAGATTGCGTGCAGTGCCGAGCATTTGATGCTGGAGAGAAGAAGGATACATGTGAGCAGGAATGCAGCTACTTTGAGCTCATCAAGGTGAAGGATCGCGACAAGCTGCCCCAGCCCACAGACCAGAGTTTCCCTCTGACTCACTGCAAAGAGCGAGATGCCAACGATTGCTGGTTCTACTACACCTATGCCATCAGGAACGATACCAAGGAGGTCTACGTGGTGGAGAACTTGGGTAAGATTACATCTCTAAATATAGTAAAATTGAAAACCTGACTGTATATGATGCTGTTTGTATGATTGCATCATTATTTTACAAGGTACATTGTGGAAATTTTGACAACTAGAAGCTCTAAGGAGCATTTTTTTTTTTTTTTAATTAATCCTTTTGTTTATGTCTCGTACACAATACACAGTCCTGCATGTGACAATCACATGCCAAGAAACACATAAATATACTGTACCTGTTAAAGGCAAAGAAGAGGAGTGCAAGCAAGTAGTCATGGCTGTAAAACATGCAGTTTTCAAATTTAAAAAAAACACAGCTATGAAAATGTTTTATGAGGAAGGAAGTGCATTCAAAGCAGCTTGTTCAGCCTCAGTACATGTTCATGTTGGTACAGCTAAATGTGAACAGAGCTTTGTGTCTTTACAAGTAAACTCCGAGTGATACCATTGTAAATTTACTTTAGATTCCTCACCTTTGAATACATGAATGTTAGTAGCAGTAGTAGTGGTAGTTATAACGGTGATAGTATGATGGGCAGATATTTTGTTGCTCTCTCACTTTTACAGTTAATACCTGAATTACTTCAAGGTTACAGTCTGTATTAAATATTTGACGCATTCACAGGTTTGTTCCCCTTCATCACAAATTTTGTTTTGAGATGTAAAACCAACAGACTATCATGGCTTGCACATGTTCGCTCTGCATCATGGAAAGAGTAGGCTTTTCTTATATTTGCAAACAACCAAAAATAAACTGAATCATTTGTCTAGGATGCAAATTTTCTATATTGAAACTGTTGGTTCACCAGTCTTTTAAGATATTTTTTCTTCTCATCAGCAGTGGATTTTATTCGGTGTCTGTGCGTTTTCTGTGTTTCAGAGTGCCCAGCAGGACCTGACATCATCCCCATCGTGGCAGGTGTGGTTGCAGGCATTGTGCTGATCGGCCTCGCCCTGCTGCTCATCTGGAAACTACTCATGATCATCCATGACCGCCGAGAGTTTGCCAAATTTGAAAAGGAGAAGATGAACGCCAAGTGGGACACGGTAAGTCAGTCACACCAGAGCACCTGGAGCAATAACTGATCAGACCTTTTCCTAGTGCACAGGTTTCATTTTTTTCCACAGTTCAAATACATTTTACCTGAAGACTCCAAGCTGTGTTGTTTCAGCTGCTGCACAGCTGCACCAAGATTATATATGTTTACTCAGGGATATAATGATCTGACTGTCCCTAACTTTTAAAAGGATTGAGGTATAATCATTTTTAGCCTTTCCAGGTCTCAAACTGTATTCTTTATGGATGTGAAGTAGGGACACATCCATAAGGTGTGGAACAGAACAGAGAGAATCTGTAGCTCTGTGGCCCTCACTGTCCTTGATCAACCTGAGTTCCATGATGTTATGTTTAGTCTTTATTCGCTGAGGGAGCGGCCTTCCCCTCAGCTGACAGTGCTGCCTCTTGCTGTCCACATGGTACAACTGCACAACCATAAAAGGCAATGAAGCTGAGAAAGAGGAGGGCTGAGGGGTGACCACTGGTGGAAAACTACACTGTTGCTCACTCCTATTTGTTAGTCACAGGAGCACAGGAGCAGGCTTAGTTTGGGAAGCAGACATTCATCACAGGCAGCGTTAGTGGGAATTACTTGTAAACATAATTAGTTACCATATTATTGTAGTAGACATTGGCAGATAGCTCACAGTTACTCTCTTGTAAAAAGTGACTTGTTAGATTCCTTTCTATTCCATCTTAATAAACATGTAGTAATATAGTTTGTGCTGTTAAGGATCTTTTCAGTGTCTGTCATTTTATTTTTTTAGGCAACCTGATCGTATTTATATCAATTACACTTGGAATGTTTTTTTATTCCCAGTTCGTACCAGAGGGACACTGGGTTTTTTGCTGTTATGTATTTTTGCCAACAGTTAGAAAGATATTTCAGTAAAATAAAAACATCAGACTGAAATGTAACAAATCACAGTTTACAGGAAATACATAAAAATACTACTTAAAACAGAAAAGAAATCATAATTCTTAGTATATATCATTATTAGCATGTTTGAGATGGAAAAAAAGAAATGGTGACCATAACAACAAGAGATATTACATACCTGTTAAATTTCTTCCTAATCTTTCCTGCTGTGCTGAACATCTCTGTCAGACGTTTATGCCTGTCCTTTCCACTGTTCCTGTTCATTTCTTTTTCTTCTGTTTTTCCCTTTCATCTTCCCACTTTCTTTCTCCATGTTAGCAAGGGAACCCCATTTACAAGAGTCCTATTAACCAGTTCCAGAATCCCAGCTATGGGAATACAGCCGCTGCTCTTTAGGTCCAAGTTTGTATCACCAGATGGCTTTGTGCTCTTGCATGAAATTTCTCTGCGCACTTTTACACCTTGATTGCCTTTATTGAGGGAAATGAAAGGTTTGGTGATTGCATGTTGTGAAATTAGCATGATTAACCAGAGGTGCCTCATTATATTGAAGTGGATTGTTGTTAATACTTTTAAGTCAATTTACAAGGAGGAAAAGTATTAATATGAACAAACAAAATAATTGAATTCATAAATTATTGTTCAGCTCATCTAACATGTTTGTCCAAAATGTTGCTGCAAAAGATGAACTGTGTGGCCACATGCTCATTGCTGGAGTTTCTTGTTTTTTTTTTTTTCCTACTGTACAACCTAATCTGAAACTGTTTAGTTTACTGATATTGAAATTTTGACACCACCAATCTGACCTACATGAAAGTTTGAGTGCTGTGATTTGTTAATCTGATTACTCACAACCGTTTAACTCACTCTCGTTGTTTTTTCTCTCTTTCTCAGGGTGAGAATCCAATTTACAAAAGTGCCGTAACAACTGTCGTCAATCCAAAGTACGAGGGCAAATGATGGAGCTGTGCCCTCATTGTGACAACACTGTATGGAAGAGAAAATGGGCCGGGGTGAAGGGAGGGGCGGGTTTTCTAATGCTCTCACTGTTTGTTTGTTTGTTGTTGTTGTAGTCACCAAAAGATAGCAATGCATTTCGCCACTATTTCAGTTTGTTTTACTAACTTGGTTTATTTTCTATGCATCGTCTGAAATGTGTACAGTCTGTGTAAATGTGGGGTTTTTATATTTTATTTTATGCCTCTGCAGAACTTGAGAGAATGTTTTTTGAACAGTTTTTTTTTTTTTTTTGTCCCGCCACAGGACTGGCAAGGTAACAGAAAGCCTAACTGTTTTTTTCATAAAACCATCAAGCTATCAGTGTTTCGTTGAGGGTTTAATTGGATGTTGATAATGGGCAACAAATGGAAGCGTTCCTTTCCAAACTACTATGTATACAATGTGGAGTGCGCTGCAATCTTGTCAGTCAGTGATTCAAAACTGCAGGTGGGCAAAGGTCTTGAGATTGATCAGCCGATTGATTTGAGCAAAGCTTTTATTGTGTCTGTAAGCGTTTTGACTGAGTAGATATCACTTCTTTTTAAATGTCTCTTTGGATTGAACTTTTCATATGTAGCGCCAGTTGGCCATGTATGGCAATGAATTGTGTACAGTATATTTTGGGTTCTGTGTAAAGCCATATATGTATTCACAGAACAGGGTTGAAGGCGTTAGTATTTTTTTGCCAAGTGACTTAATCCATCTGAACAATCAATTGAAATGTATGTTTATCTACAAAAGATATTTTCTTGGGCTGCCTTTCTAGGTGAAAGGACATCAGTGTACAGTAGTATTACTGTTTGGCTCCAGGTTTTACTTGCTTAATTTAAAAGCCAACTCAGGTCCTTAAATCTTCACAGCAATGCCAAATACGCAAATCTGCCTTATTTGCTAACTAAATTTCCTTATATTGAAATGCCTTGTTTTATTTGTAGAATTTGAACTGGAAGAAGGGTCCCAGTTTTTTTTTTACATCAGTAATTCCAACCAACTATTTGGTGGTGCCTCGATCAAACGTTTTTTATTGAACAGAAATAGGAGTGGATATAATGTCATTCAGTTCTAAAGATCAATTGACAGGAAATGGCCTTTAGATTTCAAGAATTTTTAGTTTTTGTAAAGAAAAAAAAAAGGTTACACCTGTCACCGTTGTTTTTAAGTGCCTTTTTTCAATTTCAATAACACGTTCACATTTGCAATTCTGTATTTCTGAAATTATTTATTGAATAAACAATCAAAACAATTTACCCCCATATTGTTAGGATACTATTGTGTGATTTACTATGTCGTGGATTTGTTATTAACTTATTGGTGTGTTTAGTGTGTACCAGGAGGTCTGTTATTGCTGTGCATGAACCTGATGGAAAAACTCTGAATTGACCAAATGATCTGCTCTTGTGCCTCAACAAAACTCAGGACAGAAGACAAAGCAGGTAATTGATCGATGACTTATAGATAATCCTGACAAATGGAAGCAGTGGAAACTGTGAGCTTGTTGAAATGAGTCGACCAGATGAATTATCAGAAGAGTTTTCATTTTTTCTGCTCAAATCCATTTTTAAAATTCCTAGTAATTGAATTGTGTTGTTTGCAAGTGCCATGATGTAGAAAGTTTTCTAAATATTCATAACGATTCATGTTTTAAGGAGAACATTGTGTCTTTTAAGTAGTTACAGTTCATCACAAAGCAGGCACACACAGGGAATCTTTTTTTTTTCTTCTTTTTTTTTTGGTGTATTGCTACTTAGATTTGTCTCTTTTTATAACGAACTTTGAGAAAACATCAAATGAAATCAAGTTATTTTGTCTTAACCTGATAGATAAAATCAGATTAAGATGATATTGGGCTGAAGAGGGTACTGTAGAGCAATGTTTATTTCTACTCAGTAAGGTGGCTAATGTAAAGCATGAAATGTGCTTCAAAAAAGTTGGACTGTGTGGTAATCTGTTAAGACTGAACTAAACTACATTGTGCTTTGAATGATACCAAAGTTTATATTGACAATACTTGCGTACGTTTTGAAGTGATCTGTGCATGTGTCTTGCATTCCCATTTTAATTGTAGAACAAATACAATGCAATGCAATATAAAAGACAAGGGGAATTTAAAAAGTAAAACTAAATAATAGATAAAAATAAGATAAAATAGAATAAGACAGATAAAACAGTGGAATAAGGTGCAGCTAAAGTGCAGTGAAACATGAATAAGTAGCCCCAGGTTTAAAGTAAAGCTTGTACTGTGCATAAATTGTATGCACTTTAGATATTTAGATTCTTGTCCATCAGGGAGGCTGCAGCAGGACAACCCAAACACACTGCCAGAGTCAAAGAACTATCTTCAGAGACTTGAAGAACAAGGAGTCCTGCAGCTGATGGTCTGGCCCCCACAGAGCCCTGATCTCAACGTCATGGAGTCAGTCTGGGATCACGTTAAGAGACAGATGGTACTGAGACAGCCTAAATCCACAGAAGAACAGTGACAACTTCTCCAAGATGCTGGAACAACCTACCTGTGAAGTACCTTGAAAAACGGTGTGCAGGTATACTAAGGAGAACTGGTGCTGTCACAGCAAATATTGATTAGATTTTTTTCCTATTTTATACAGTTTGTGTGAAGTTAATTGAAATTTAAAAACTACTCGTGGCATTATTTAGCATATTTGCTTTACTTTTATGGTAGAGAACGTGTGCACAGTAAGCGAAAAAAGTATAAGTAAAAACGTCTTAGATTTACGTCTAAAAACAATATACAAACACGTAAAAGTAGAACCTTATCACAACGTTTGAAAAATGGCTGGGGCTCAGACTTCATGCTGACATCGTAAGCCAATCACGTTTCGTTCCATCCCCTCTGGAACGTGACGCCACAAACCCAGGGGCTCTCCACAGGTGATTGGTGGCCTCCGCTGTCCAATCACAGGCCGCCTTTTACAGCAAAGTTGTTAACCCCCAACAGTAGCACTTTGGTTTCCACCTCTCTAGTTTCACCCTGCTTTACATCGACAGGAAAATACTGACTTTTCATCGACCGAAAAGCGCTTTTTAACGAGCAGGATATAAACCGGACAGCGGCTCTCCCCACCAGGACTACCGGCTCACCGTTGGAGGTTTTATTATGAAACCAACTAGGAAAACTAGCTGTGGCTAACGTTAGTGTTAGTTGGCTCCCTCTCTGGCTAGCTGCGTCGTGTTGGTGTTGCCTGGCGTTTTTTTTTTTTTTACTTCTGACTTGCAGAAATGTTGTCCATCTATCTTTAAATCCCTAACGTGTGCTGAATGATCGACTTGGTGAGTATATTCTTGTAATGTTTTTTAACTTGAATCGATGGCTGCTTAAAAAAAGGCCCATCGTGAAAAGTGTTTCTGGCATCAGATGATTTCATACACGCAATCAAATTCCTGGCTGGTCAGCTGGATGCAATTCAGCACTAAAACCACAAGTTCCTAATCACTTTGTCAGCTCCCAAAGCGAGGAGAGTGTGATATCGATCGATGTAAGCAGTGGAGATATTTTTCATTGTATAAAACAAAAATCTAGTTCATTAGTTGTTACATTAATGGCAAAATTAGAATGTCGGAAACCTGATCTGGCTAACTGGGAGAGAAAACATCAGCAGGAGGCGGAGGTGAAGAGTCGATGAGAGGTTCACATATAAATCTGACATGATTTCATATGAGGGTTTTTCCATCATCTTGCTTTGAAATGTAACATTGTTGGCTCACAGGCTTAGGGTGTGTGGCTAAACAGTGCCAGGCAGCCCCTGTGGTCTGCCAGGGAACTGCTCGGCCCTGGCCTGCATGGATCATAGACTGTATCCCTCATATCCCCTGCATTAGTAGCACCCCTCCTAAAACACCCACCTCTCCCTACAAGGACTCAAAAAGGGGGAGAGACCTTTATGAGTGATTTGGCTTCCCTGTAAAGATGAAGTTTGGGAGATCTGCACCCAGCCAGGATTAGAGCTGCCTCATGGTGACTAGCATTGGTTGTAGTACTATAATTATTAGTTAGTAATTATTCTTTAAAGCCTGCTTAGAGTAACTGATTGGTAGAGTTCTCTGTATCAAATAAGCCAGGTAAACTGTTAATCAGAAAACTAAAAAAAAAAAAAAAAAGCTCTGGATATTGTGTGACAAACCCCACCCACATGAGACATATGTAGGCTAGCACAAAGTATGTGAGGCATGAAAATACTGTTTGTTAGGTTGAGAAGGTCTGTTAGTGTGTTAACATGTTTTGCTAAGTTTTCCCGAAGCTTAGCAGTCAAGGTCACACACATTAACTTGGAAGACTAAAATATGTCACCCTAGCTCTTGTCATTTTTGCATAATCACTGGACACCGAGGCCCTGACCTCAAACTCGGATGCATGCCTTTTTCCTAATGAATACATAGGCTGGTATTTGCAGAATATTTCAAGGAATTTATCCACAATACAGCTCAGTATCTGTGACTGAATGTGAAACCATGCCTCTAAAATGGGATGGTAATATTTCAAAAGGCAGGCATCAATATCGCATTATACAGTGCTTCCAATTCTTAGTGTTTTTAACAGAGGAGCTTGCACATATGTACCATCATCTGAACGCCTCAAACAGCCATAACCTCATTCCAAAGGGCTCAACTGCCAGACAGCAGAACAGGTAAAATGTTTAAAGGAAATGTACATCTCTTATATGGATCCCAATATTGGCTACACTGTATTGATAAGGTATCACAAGTAGGATTCGGAGGAATCAACACATAACATCAAAATTATTGATAAATCTATCTATTAGTTTTATCTTAAATGGACCCAGCTGGTTATCTTCATCCAGCCGATCAATATTTAAATACACATTTGTATATTGTGGTTTCATGTGCCATGGTGCTCATGATCACAGTGCTGCTTTTGCATAACGGAACTCTTTCCCGGCAATAAATATACATGAATTTGTTTAGATTGAACACTGACTATACAACAGGATAGGTTACTGTGGAGACAGGTTACAGCTGAACTGTTAAATGTATTTTTGTAGGGGTCTCGGGTTTAACTTAAACCTCAGATAGGGACCTCTAGTGGCATTCAGGCGCAGAGTTGGGTTTGTCAGTACAATTGACCCCTTTTAAATGTTACGTCTTTTTACCCAGTAGTAACATAACGAGACATAAGAATCTACACCAGTGTCCGTGACCCCCATGAGGCTGTGCCTAGCTACAGCAGTTATTTTAGCCAATTGCTAAAGTCAGCATGCTAACATGTTCACAATGGCTATTGTTAGTGTTGAGCTCAAAAGAGGGTCACCAAAGTCATTAGGATTTGACCTCTGGGGACTTAAATTATCTGTACCAGATTTTATGGCAGTCCTTTCAAAAGTAGTTGAAGCATTGCACAGAAAACCAAACATGTCATCCTCATGGTGGCGCTAGAGGTAAGGTCAGGGATCGCCAAAGTCAAATATCTACAAAATGTGTCTTCTCCCCTCATGTTTTGCTACACTACAGAGAAAAAAAGTAAACAGCTTTCTTTGCAATTGTAACACTGCATTATACAAAGATATATGAATCTGATTAAGAGGATCTCACTATACAAAAGAGCCCCTTTGATGCAACCCATAAACACAGCCAGGTGTGGTTGTTGGAGGGTCAGACCAGGCAGCACTGCTGACAATCGTGATCAGGTGGTGGACAAATGTTTTTTGTCTTTGCTCCACCCAGACAGCACTTTCCTAATTAAGACCTTAGTTAGGGCACTTTTTTGACTGACTTGCAGGCCACTTGGTTTTATTTTTTCCTGTAACTGAGTTGTCATAATGTGTTTTTTATTTAAAGCTTTTGTGTTCATGTAGTTTTGACTAAATGTCCCTGTTGCTCTTGTGAATTGACTCTCAGGTCCTCATAATGCTCTCAGTGGATTTAACGATGATAAGAAAACCTCAGTTCACCTGGGTGGACCCTGGCTAAACCTAATGTCATCAACAGGTAAAGTATTTTAATGATTTGTAAAATATTAGTATAACCTTGATAAATTAACATTCTAAATGTCTTTGGCTCTGGCTGTGTTGCATACTAAGCATAGATACTAGATCAACACTATTCCCAAAAACCTATAGGGTCATGGCAAAAGCTTATCTCAAAGCACCCCAGCTGCAGCCTAGAGTCCAGCAAGATAAGCATGGTGCCAACATTGTCACGGTTAAGGGCTTTGACACGGCTGGAATCACCCACATTGAATACATTGAGTAAACTCATAGAGCTGCATAGTGTTTTGGATCTAAATATTCACCAAATAGTGTGTGCAGTGGTGTTTGTACTCCTTACAAACATGCATGTTGGTGTCCTGTCCTGAAGATCAAGATCATTTGCCTGTCAGACCAGAAGAGGGCGACATTGTTCACATAGTGAACATGACGCCATGAAGCGTTCACCTGGAACAGACCTTTTTTTCTATTGTGGGCTGCTATAGAATCACTGCTGATAAATAAGGTTCAGTGGATCTATTATCTCAGGTCAGTTTGCAGGTACAGTAATTTCTGTGGTTTTTGAGGCGTTGGCTTGTAGTGGATTAAGGACTGTATTTCTCCAGTTTTGTTCTAAACCATAAAAGCAATTACCAGAAAAGAAATATAAAGTATATTAATATTTGACCTAATACAACTTGGTTTTAATAGCTTTGATTCTGAAAAAATACATGTGGATATAAAAAAATAGAATCTTTCAAATAAGAGTTAATTGAGGCATTTACTCTTAGTATTTTAAGGGTAGACTGTTTTAAGTTATTGAGCAATATTAACTTGGAAAGATGATCTTTGATTTATTATGATTTGAGAGTTCTGGTAAGAATACACATGGATATGATATTATATGCTAAAATTATTGGACTGCACAGTCAGTAATTCACAATCAACAACACCAAATTTTGAATAAGTAAGATGTACATTTTATACAACTTTCGTGACATTAATCATCAGGTGAAACGCGTTAATCACTTCGTTTCTAAATTTATTTAATTTATCCGTTGTCTTAATATAATATTCAGTTACTAGGTGGAACTTAATAAATAATAATATATGTTAAATACAACTACAATTTCAGTTTCTTTTAGGAAGTTAAGCTTTTTAATTAATTTGTAATTTCCCTTTATTTAGGGGTTTCAATAATATATAATCCATTATTTACTTATTTATTTTATTATGGCGGTATATATTTCGGCCATGCCTAATGTTTATTTCAATTATTTACGTGTATGTGTGCAGAGGAGTTAGTTTGCAAGAAATGCCCCCTTCCCCCCACCCCCGCAACGCGCAAGCGCTCGGGACCGTGTGGGAATGGTCGGTCCACGAACTGGGGGTTGGACCGCTCCGAGCGAAACAGCGCAAAAGAGTTTTAAATGTCCGCCATGTTGTCCATGGCGCACTGAACCACCGATAGGGAGCGGAGCGTCGGAAAAAAACAGTCCGAGAGAGAGCGACCAAGATCCGGGCCTTCCCCCGGCTCCGTTGGCGACGCCCTAAATACAAGCTACAACCATTCGAACGTTAGAATAGAGATTAACCGCACAGAAACATCCATGAAAGCTCCACTCGGTACCGTTGTGAATATTAGGAGATCGGATAGATTTATATTGCATCTCGAATTGTGAAAAATGAGTAAATTGTCGTTTCGGGCACGGGCGCTGGACGCTTCCAAGCCACTACCCGTCTTCCGTTGTGAGGATTTACCCGACCTACACGAATATGCATCCATTAACCGGGCAGTGCCGCAGATGCCTACGGGGATGGAGAAAGAAGAGGAATCGGTATGCTTTAACAGTTCGAAAATGTGAAAATATACGCTTTGGTTTATTTCTTATTTTTATATGATCAGAGGCGTCCCTCTTTTTTTCTGCGCAAGCTTTCACAAAATGGCCGCCAATTTTCTCAGAAGAAACACGACAGATTTCTGTTGCATATTGCATATATGTGAGACTTGGACGAAAGCTTGGGTGAAGCAGAGATACATTGTGTCATTATTGGATTAAATCGCTAGGTTTTGCCGGCTTATTTATGCGTGAGGTGGTTTTCTGAGTACAAAGGAGTCATGTGACTTCAGCAATTCCGACATTTTGTCTTGTCTGTCAGGATGGGGCCTTGTGTTGGCGTAATTGCAAAGGACCAGGGCAAGGGGGAGCTAGTGATTTCATATTATATGTGGCATCTGTACCACTACCAGACAGGAATGTCAATACTGCTGCCATGCATTTGGGAAATCTTAACCTTTGTCATCTTGAAACATACAGTATATATGTTTATGTTTGTGTTGACATTGTTTTCACCTGATTTGCAGTAGGACGTGTCACAGTTTAGGCACAGTTTGCTGTTACCACTTTGTCATGTCATGGATTTGTGTATGTGTGTAGTTATGTCGTGAGGCTGTGGGTTGTGATCCCACACTATATTTGTAATGCAGCTGTTGTTATTCAGGTATTGCAACAACTAAAACCATTGTTTGAACAGTAAATGCACTGGGGTAATCATCCTGTTTGTGTAGCTGTCAGACAGGAGTATTATTTAATCTCCCACAGTCTTGCAGCAACTGAACTGGCAGAGATTTCTCCTAATATATTTACTTATGTTGACTTTTCAGAGTAGGTCACATGGGGGATAAGGTGGTTATTCTTGATGGCTGTTGTGACTACAATAAACATCCCTCTGGTTTCCCAGTGTTGACATTTGATTTGCCAGATAAGCACATTAAAGCCCACCTAAAAATCAAACTCCATAATGCTTGCACATTTTGGTTTGGGGAAACTCTGCTTGCTGCTATTGCAGATAATTGGCTACCTTTAGCATATGCTGACAGTCTAGTTGGAAAGAGAAACAAGATATTTTAGGTGAGATTTAAGGATGCACCAGCCACAGAGGCAAATGCATAGACGGTTTGCTTCTGTGTCTGGGTTGTGTAGCATCCCACATGGGCGGAATTAGTTATCTGTAGGCTGTAGTGGGGTTGTTTGTAAACTAGATGCAACCCAATGGAATTCTTTTTTTTTTTTTTTACTGTGTTCTTCTGTTTTGTTCTTGCCATTCATCAGCAGCGTGTCACAGCGAGGTCCTTATCCTGGGTCCCCTAAGCAATATATTACCCTCTCCAAGGATTCAGCTTTTGTAGCTGACTCAGCAAGCTTGACTAATGTTTAAAATATAAGGGCAGGTAAATGGGGAATATCAGTGCAGGCGTCTGAGGTGGATGATGCTGTTATTCACTGAAAGTGTGTTGCAGCCGGTCTGCGTCCCTGCTCTTGTGGAGGCTCAGTGTCAGGGGTTCAGTATGTCAGATGGCACAGCAGGCTGGCAGACCAGCGGCACGTGGCGCTCAGGAGGAGATCAGGGCAGGAGGAGGGAGGAAGGGGGGGTTGCTGTCACTTCAAAGTCTGTGCTCTGCTCAGCTGGAGTGCTTGGTTATGTAACAGTCATATTATCATAAGAGATAGGGCAAGGCCTGCTGCATGCCAGCCACTCAGTGTTTGGAGTCGTCTGTCATGAATTTTTACGTCAGAGTTCAGATGGAGATTTGCTTTGAATCAGTGACGGCAGATATTGTAGCTCACACTCTTTTAAAAGCCTTAAGGTGTGGTGCTGTTGCTTTATTGTACTGTAAATGCATGTATTTTAGATAAGTGGGCCTGATACTGCATTCATTGATCCACACAGGGAGTAGTGCCTGGCATTTCTGGAGACTTGCTTCACTTTTATTATGAACAGCCATCCTTGAAGTGTTAATGCATCAGCTTTGCATGTTTTGCTTACCCACAACCACATTGACTACCCACTCGATGTTCAGTGGTCTACAGGGTGAATATGTGGTGTCTCTGCACTTCCTGACGCTCTTCTAATAGAAAGCTTTTAACAGTGAACTGTTGAACTCAGACCACAGAGTGACTTTTCAGATTCAGGCCATGCTCGTTTCAAGCAATTAATGAGCACAAGACTACGGCCTTGCTCTCTCTGTTCCTGCTGGACTCTGCCTTTCAAAAGTTGTATCTCTGTCCAGAATGTGGTTTTATAATTTATAGGCGGTGTGTATGTAGTGTGGCTTAACTGAAGAGCCATCATCGCAGGAATTCCCTCAGCACGTGCTGCTTGTTTGTTTTGGGTCAGACACTTTGTCTTGTGTTTACATTTGGGTGAAAGTGAGGTCAATATCTGCAGCCCTGGTGGGAACCCACCGGCATCTGTTGTGTTTGCCTCTTTGCCAGACATCGTTCATGTGTACACACACACACACACACACACACACACACTCTGATTCTGGCATACCACCAGTTTCTCACTGTGTGACCTTGCTGGGTGGGAATTTGGGGCATGTCACCTGTCCAAAGTCTCTGCAGTCTACATGCTGTGAAATTGAAAGTTGCCTTTGTCAGCTGTTTCCCTCCTTTTTTCTTTAGCTGTTGAAAGTTCTGCATTGATGTATATGTGGGCAGCATGGGAAATTAACATCAGTCTTGGGGCAGGTTCTCCACAGCCAGTTTGCCAGCTAGACAAACCTCAGCTGGAACTCTCCAGTCAATGGCCGATGATTGGAAGACTACTGTATGAACATTGACTGTTTGTGATTAATTGGTTTCACGGCATTATTATGCAATAGTGGGCCCACGCTCAAGCTTGAAAAAACTTGCAGAGACTGCCTTGGTCTTATTTTACCAGCAGCCACATTCATTTGTGGAATGGAAAGTTTCTCAGTTCACGCTCTGTTACTTTACAAACTGCTTAGCAGAGTTGGAACAGCCAAAAACGCAGGCTGATGGCTGCTGTTAATTTCCCACCCCACTTACACTGGGTGTTAAAAATCATCCTCCCACACAGCACATAAACCTGCTTTGTACTGTAGCTATGTGTCCCTCGACAGCTCTAGCAGACCGTTCCCTGCAGCTGTCCATCATGTTAAGTGGCATTTACAGTGTCTGGGACAGTAGCTGTCAGAGGCGAGACTGGGGAAGGTGGAGGAGGCTCTGGCTGCCTCAGCAGACTTGACAGTGATCGATTTGGTCATTTTAGAACGCTATTTCTGGACTCCTGTGTGTATGTGTGAGAAAGCGAGACCAAGAGGAAAAAGTCTGTGTGCAAGGGCACCAGCCAAACGCTCTGTATTCTGACTGTTCACCTCAATCTGAGTCTATTTATTCTCAGGCAAATAGCCATGGAGGGGAAAGTAAACAAACACAATGCTTGATTAGGTTTGGCAGCTGATGTGATTTTGCTCAAGGCCATTTGATTTTTTTATGAGTTTCTCCCTCGTGGTGGAGAAGCCAGAAGAGGTTGATGCGGAGGTTTAGGGGCTTGCCGGGGGAATGTTGGAATCAGATAGGAACTTGAAGGTTATGCAAGCGTACAAGCACAGAGTGGGTTAGAGCAAACACTACAGATAGGTTGAATGTGTAAGAGCTTCGAGTTCTGTATGCAGACGCCCTAGGGAAGCTTTGAGAATAAATCTGAAAGGCTTGTCATCAGCACCTTCTCCTATAGGCAGTCGCTGCATCCTTAGAACAGATCGCCAGAGCACATACTGCCATAAATGTAAAGTATAGTCACTTGCCTCGTGTATGACAGAATATTGCTAGTCTCAAAAGTCCAAATGGTGGTGATGAACATGGGGCTCTGGGACACAATAAATCAGATTTAATACAGAAGACTGAACCCGTTACAAACAACATGTTTGTTTTTTCCTGACTGTGAAATGAATTACCACCAGTCAGTTTTGACACCAGTACCAGGGATAAGTAATAAAAAATGAAAGATAAAGTAAGACTTTTTGCACACTCTAGTTGCTCATTTGAAAATGCAGGAAAATTGTGTGTGTGTGTGCATAACTACACTGTTGTCTAACGAGCATTACCCTAAACATTCAATCGAACTTGGTATATTAAAAGTTAATCCAAATAATTTGTTGTGATTATTTGTCCACACTTTGCAGTCCTGGAAAAGCTGTGTTTCTGTCAGAATACAGTTCTGTTGTATGAAGTGATAACTTGACTAAATGACTAAAGACCGTATGGAATAGTAAAGCTCGTGCTGAATGCTGTGGAACAGTGCTTTGTGTCTTCAAGGTCTCAGTCAGTGTCAAGGACCATCTGTTTAGAAACCCTGTAGCTCTGAAAAGCCTGCCTGTTGGGGTCTTTTTAAAGAGACACAAATTGATCAGTGTTCTGCTGGGTTTGTCTTCAGTTTCACTTGGAGGTCTTTCTGAGAAGCGGCACGCTTGCTTGATTTAACCCAGTGAAAACAATTTGCCGCTCCTATGTTCCTGTTCTTTTCTCCTGGCCTTCATGTGATGCCAGGGGCAGCTTAGATTAAGACAAAATCCAGATGATATGAATCCCTAAAATGAAGAAATTACATTTTTAAAATGTGCTCATAAAAATGTTTAAAGTAGAAATACCATAGTGATTATAATGGGGCTCCTCAGCTGCATATCAGATACTACCAGAACTCCAAACAACTGTCTTATTCAGGCAGTTTCATGTAAGTTATGGTAATGGTTACAGTCCTCCTGTCGGGCGTTTCTGTTAGAGCAGTTTTCCAGTTACTTAAGTAACAAAGTGCAATAAATTTATAGGAGTCTTGTTGATATATAACCAACTTTAGGTTGTGTAGTGCATATAATAGGTACATAGCATATAATATTCACCCCATGGAAAATATATTTCCCTCTGAATTCTGCAAAGAAATAAACCTGTAAGAGGAGACTGGAAAAAAAACAACAGTGCTTTGCTGGGCCGTTGTTAGTTTCTGAATGGGGATGGGTTCAGTGTGTGACAATAGAAATTTGTCAATTGTCAGATTTTACCATACTGTTTATAAGAATTTCTTGTTGTATTAGACGATTGATAGATGCCAAAAATACAAGAAACCCATGACCGACAATTCCATCTGTATATCCATGTAGGATGTCTCACTTGAAAAGAAAAGAAAACATACTGTCATAATATATTGATATCATGACACAAAATCACATATACCTTTAGACTAACACAAATAATACCTCAACTTTTTTCATTCATAGCAGCAAATTGAGAAGCCGGCCAGACACACTGGGGCCAATCATGCATATTGTGGGGCAATGCTTGCATAAGAGATGAGGTGCAGACATAGCCAGTAGAGCTTGAAGTACAGTCAGTACGACAGGTCATATTACCTGTGAATATGAAGCAGTTGCCTAATTGAGTTTACTGGAGGAGCAGCATTAGGTCTCAGCCAAGAGAATGTGGCAGTTTAGAATCATATTCCTACTACTGTCTCTTTGAAGTGTCAACTGCACAGGCTCAAACTGAAAGGAAGTTGTTCAATACTTATGTAATGTAGTATATCCTCCTCAAGGCTGGCGTGTGTGTTATACAACAGTGGCTATGTGATATGACTGACTGGTGATAGTTTTGGCACCAGGTAAATTCAGTTGCTTTTCATGCAAAAATGCATAACAGACCAGTTGCATTTCCAGTCTCACACTTCCTCATTCAAGTACGTACACACACACACACACACACACACACATGCTTTCTCTCTGACTCACTCACTCACTCTGCCTACCTTCCCGAGACACAGACACCCCACCCCCACCCCCCTACCCTTGTGTCTTTGACAGCCGCAGGGGAAACAATAAACACACACCATCTCTCCAGAGAACTGTTGAACGAGCCCAGCAGCACGCTGCCTTGTTGACAGACTGCCTGCCTGCCAGTGGCTCAGTGCCCAGCTCGGGGCCAAAGGCTCCACTACTACGACTGACTGGGACTGTTCAGACAAGCAGCCCGCCAGCAAACCAGTTAGTCAGCCTTCCAGCCTGTCTGCCTTCCTTCCGGCACATTCCCTCCTCAACGGGCTTGGCAGCAGCAGGCTCTCATCACACTTGTGGCGGGTAGATAAGGCCAACAGACTGATCGTTGGAGACAAAAACAGTGTCAAGTTTCCCTCTGTATTTGTGCTTGAGAGTGATGGGATGGCAGGTTCAGATTTGTCGCTGTCGAGCTGCCACATGCCATTCTAGGGCCAATCTGTAATTCCTTTATTAAGATTTAAATACATTGAAAACATTGACTGGTTGTGTGAACTTGGCAACAGGCGTTTTTAATATGGTTCTGTTTGTCCTGGCAGTCGTTTGTCCCTGCACTGGTTTTTTTATCATAAGGTCTGGATGGCAAATGTTACTCATTGTTTATCTGGATAATCGCCTGCAACTCACTTTGCAGGTGTACATTCGGCTGGTATCTACATGAGTCAGTGTGTTGTTTCCCTCTCAGAATGACGGTGTCCAAGATATCGTTTCGGTTGGACAATGTTCTGTTTTGCTCCAGGTGCTCCACAAATTGGTCTTAAGCTGGGAGTTGTTTAGTTTGTTTCAGCCCTTTGAAGTTTTACCTTTGCTTTGGTTTTTAAAGGACCAAAGCTGCTCAATACTCAGTAAACCTCATGTTGTGGGCATTGTGGCAGCATAATTAAATCTATAAAGGTAGATTTTTTTTTTCTACTTCTTTTACTGTGTTAAAGTTGAAATAGAGTTAGAATACTAGTTCTAAATAATGACTCCTTGTGTTTCTGGTAGAGAAAAGAAAATGCCACCAAACATACATATTATGTGGCAAAAATACATTTTACAGTTGAAAAGTAAACTTGTTGCTGTTCTCTAGTGGACAAACTGTTTAACTGAATTCCTTTCCTAAAACCATGGCATATCACACTAGTTGTAAAGTCTTTTTGCCTTCAGATTTTGTTTTAAATTTGTTTTTGTTTTTTGTTTTTTTTTAAAAGGTTTTTCAGCTGTGTGGTACCAGCTTTCTTTACCCAGTATGTTTGCTTCATACCAGCTTGATGGTTTCAAGACAAAAATGTCCTCTGCTGCGTTTAAGTGATTTTATTTCTATGGTAGTTTGTATATAATCTCTAGTGAGAGCAAATCCATCCTCAGTGGTGCAGATGTCTCAACTCCATCTGTGTCTCTGTAGGAACACCATCTCCAGCGGGCCATCTCGGCACAGCAGGTATATGGCGAGAAGCGGGACAACATGGTCATCCCAGTCCCCGAGGCGGAGAGCAACATCACCTACTACGACTCCCTCTACCCTGGGGACTACAAGATGCCAAAGCAGCTAATTCACATACAGCGTAAGTGGGCTTCTCTATTGGCAAATATATGATGTAGAAAGCAGAGACAATGAGTTTGATGTAGCAGTTTAGGTTTCATTTGGCTTTAATGGGATTTACCTCAATTATTTTTGAATACATTAAATGACACTTGGGGGCTGTTGATCAGAATTATAAGCTGCCATGAGTGTACATTAACCCATTCATACCGGATGCTGCGCAGCGCAGCATTGCCCCTCCCGCCAGTTGCTGTGTAGCGCAGCATTGTTGATTCCTCGTCATTTTCATGATGCATGCAGCATATAAATATGTAAAATATGTATAAATATATCATGAAAATGACAAGGAATCAACAATGCTGCGCTACACAGCAAGTGGCGGGAGGGGCAAAGCTGCGCTGCGCAGCAACCGGCGGGAGGGGCAATGTTGTGCTGCACAGCATCCGGTATAAATGGGTTAAGGATACTTTTTTTTTTTTTATTTGTAAAGCATCATTTTAGACCTGTGTCATTTCTTTAGTTTAATTTTTGGAATATAAAGAGTTTCCTCAGTGGTTTTCAATGGAAGAAAAGGTGTCGTTTAAACCCACATGGCATTATAAGTGAAACATACTTCCTGGCTACAGAATGTTAGCTAAGTTGGCTGCGTAAAGTCTTATAAAATGTTGATCCCGTTCAATGACTCGCAAGCCAAGGTAGTGGCTCCGTTGTCGCTGACAGCTATTCGTCCGTTTAATGCCATTGGGCATGTTTTTTTATGAGCTTTTACTGAGTTGTCATCTATTTGTCAAAGCAAATGAGTTTGAGAGATTGCCTGGTTCAGTAATAGCATCAAAGAAAATGAGTTTGTGAGATTGGTTAGTTTAGTAACCACGTCTGTGTCACACGTGGTAGCCACAATTGTTTCTCAAAGCAAAGCAATTTGTTGTAGCCTAAACTGAGACATTATCAGTTTGGAAGCTGAAAACAAATGTGTTGTCCTGTCAAATTGCTGTTGAACAAATTTCAGGGTATCCTCAGAAGTCTGAACTGTGGGGGGAAAAAAAAATCAGTTCAGATCATTTCCAAGGCTTGATAGTTTGTACAGAAATATCAAAAATTATGCAAATACAGTATGTTGTGTATTATTCCATTTGTATAAGGATGATTTTACACAGTGTCAATTTGTGTAAGCAAAAAAAAATAAATAGTCTCATCAGCCATCTGCCTTGACGGCTACCCAAGATTTGCTATAATTAAATCTGAACAGAGGTTATCACTTAAAAGCTGTGCATTGTTTACTCTATAATTATAAACGCAGTAGCTGTGAATGCTTGATGGCAGCTAGTTTAATTTGATCTTAGCAGATTTGGCAGTGTTCTTTCTGAGAGACGCACCACGGCTGAATTAAAACTCACAAATAGAAATCACAACTTCACCTGCTTCCACAGTGTAGAAAGAAAAAGGTCCAGAGGTCAAAACTCCAGCAAAACTTAAACGCACTATACAGAAAAACTTTATTATTAGTCAGACACATTTTGGGTCTAATAAAGTGTTCTTCCGTTTACTGCAAGTGTTGCTTGAGTTTTGTTGAGAGTCGGAAAAGGAAGTCTGTGGTTTGACATACGTGTCTCACCGGTCACTGAGGCTTGAGACAAAGTAGAAGCCTGAAAAAGTTGAGCTGTGTTGAGTGAATAGCTTTTATACTTTTCTGTCTCTTGAGTCAGAAGTATTCTGACACTGGACCATTAGGAAAGGGCAGAGTCACATTTTATGCCTCAACTAAAATTACACTGATGTATCTTTGACCTGTCGGAATATGTACATGTTAATGCAGACTCCATTAAATTGTCTGGTAGTATTAGGTCAGTCTGAGAGGTACTGACTTGCAACACTCGGCAACAGCCAGATAATATATACTGTTTACCATTGATTCCTGTCAGGTCTCCAGTAGTGCTGACTGATAAATGTTATTTTCATCGTCATCGCGATATGAATATATACAATATACATATTGCAAAAGACAGAGAAATGCGATGAATGAGAAAAAATAATTTTATTCACACACGGCATGCACAGAGGGGTTTCGAGGCACAGCGCCTGAGCCAAATGAACGGGGGAAAAAACGACCGCATTTGGTGTCAGGCTGCAGCCTCACACATAAACACAGAGGCGGCAGTGGAGACCAGTGAGGAGTGAACTTTTTACCTGAGCTGACAGCAACTACAGTCGTAGCTCTGTGAGTGTCATTACGTTTGCGAATACAAAAGCAATTGGCCTCCTTCATCACACCGCATATTCACCAAGATTTAAACATGTAGAAAAGCTACATTTTCAATTTCTCCCATCCACCGTGGTTTGTTTTAGACGAGCGCAGCGCGCTAACGTTAAGCCAATAGTGAACCGTTATGAACAAGCTAAAAGAAAGTTTTCTGTTTACTTTTGGAAACTTATAACTGCAGCTGGAGACATGAATGTTACCTACAGCAGAGGGAGGAGGATGGAGGAGATGACAGATAGTAACCCTTGCCTGTGTTCTTCATTCAGGTTCACTCAGCAAAACTGTATATGCACACTTCAATATTTGTTTTTTCATCACAAGTCATATCATCATCACAATATTTAACAGTGTTATCACACATCAAACATTTTCCTTGTATCGTTTAGGCCTAGTCTCCAGTCTGACCTCCTTCTAGATGTCTGAATGGGCTAATTAGGTGTATTTAAACCTGATAATCAACCAGTGTATCCCTAAAGTTTGTGTCCAACAGACACTGGGTGGGCTGTACTCTTAAAACACTCATTTATTGAAGTTAACTGGGGGCAGTTAGCCCTGTGTAGTTGTTAACTGTCCTTTTTTTATTTTAAAATCAACAGGTTGATTCTCTCTGAAACCAACATTATATAACATTGTTGTCTTAATAAGGCAAAGGCAACAATGCTTTTAAATAATATCACACAGAAGATCAACATGTTATGTTACACACATGGGTATTGCACACTGGTACTGGCAGATGTATTTAGTTTTATGAACCACACATAATAATAAAAGATAAACATATATAACTTGGGTAAATGTGACTTATATAGAATGGCTACGGGTCTGGTCCCTATAAAAGACTCAGTCCTGTCTGCCTTCTCAGCCATTACTGAGTGCTGCTGGGGTTTGAACTAATGTTACCGCAAGAGGCTCATTTGCCAGTCTGGGTGTTTGTGGCATCAGTCTGGGAGTGCAGACTGTGGCTTTCTGTATAAGCAGAGGGATGGTACCTTTTCAGATGGTGTGAAAGGTTTGTGTTTCACATCTGTGTCGGCACAGGTTGCCTGCATATTTTACAAAGGATATCTCTCTGCTGTTGATCCAGCTTTAGAAATCCAAACCATTTCCAAAATCACCGATGTCATGTGGTGTCTATTCATCACAATTACCTCGTCTCATGCAGATGTTTGACTCCCCTCACAGTCGCCCATTTTTGTGTTTCCAACACTGTGTGTTTTGCTTTGGCCGACATGTCAGCTATGTATTCGTATTGCTGTAGCCTAACAGATGGATTGTGCAGATGAGTGTTGACCCAAATACAGAACAGATGCATGTATTATAATTACTCATCAGTTTATCATCATTATTGTGGCAGTTAATTTCGATTGTTTTATCGTCCAGCCCCACATAGTCATATTTGAGGATACAACTATTCTCTGCTTTTCACTACACATACATAAGCTGCTGGGAAAGAGTCCGTGTTGTCTGCAAGTTAAAGCGTAGGTGGTTTTCTGTAGTCCTCAAGTTTTCAGGCCATCCTTTCATACTCCTGCACCGTTCTAAGGATGTGTGTAGCAATACGTCTGAATTTCCTCAGTTGTCCAGGTCGTGGTGTCTATAGAGTAAACGGACAGCTCAGGGAAACTGAGATTTAAAACATTGTCACCTATTCACAGCCGTCATGCTGCTTTGGTCAGAGCTGTTTTCTTTGGTTACGGTTGTGGGTTTCTGTTGATAGGCCCCACATCGGGTCTTATTTTTCTCAGACAAATTTTTAAATCTGCATGTATCCAGTGGTAACGCTGTGGTCATATTAAAAAGGGATAAATACTGTTTACAGTTTGAGCTTCACAGAAAACTATTTGAAAGGTATAATCAAAGCAATCTCTCTGTTTCATTGTATGTAGTAGCAGCAGTGAGTATCTTAAAGAAATGTGGTTGTAAATGTTATTTTATACTTTATTTCATAGTGTAGGAATTTCCTTTTCGTGTAGCTGGCTGCTTTTTGATCTTAGGTACATAGAGGTGCTGAAAATCAGGTCATTAACACTTGCTCATTAAATGTTGAATTCTGAATGACTGCTGTGTAGGCGGTAACCTTGCTTCAGTGTTGAGCATGGTGTCGCAGAGGATGTACTATAAACATCTCTTTGTACATTGGATATATGACATGTTTGCACACAGACTGAAACAAAGTATATTAAATGACTATATGTCCCTTTCAACCATGGCACTTGAGCTAAAGAGTGACCTTGCCAGTTATATTACTAAGCAACCATCTGTATATCTAACTTAAACTATCATTAACTGCCACCACAAAAAGGAACCATGTTTTTTTTTTTTTGTTTTTTTTTTTATCTAACTGGCTGTTAAAGCAGTGATGCTGGATTGTGAATTATGGGACCTGCTAGTTTTTATCTTTGTAAACTAGGGACATAACAATTCTGAAGCCCCTCTGGGCACATTTAAGTCACCAAACCAAAAATAAAAAGACTGAACTGTTGATTTGGAGATTTGTTAAACCCCCACTGTAAACTAAAGCTTTCTGCTGTTTGATGGATGAAAGGGAGTTTCAGTGTGCTTTGCTGCATCTCAAACAATCAGTAAAAGTTTGGGCTCACAGAAAGTCTGTTATTTCAGAGCAATTGCTCAGCGGTGAGGTTAAGTGATCTTGCCTGGAAACTGGCTCGATAATGCTTTGTAATGCTGCATGCAGTGCCTCCAGTTACTAGCAGACCAATTAAGCTGAATTTTAACTTTAATCCGTGAGTCTCCTGTGGAGTCAGAATAGAGAGGACCCAATTTCACCTGATCAGTTTGATCAAATAAACTCCAAAATTTGAATATAATGTCCCAATTACTGCCCTCATTTCCGATCACTGCTGTTTGAATAGATAAGTCCAAACGTGTACATTCCTTGTGCATGCTAGTATCATGATTAGTCATAATTAATTGATTTCCTTCTATTTGAACCCACTCATTCCACATCACTTTGGATAAATGTACAAGCTAACCTGTGGCCAGTTGCACTCAATGCTTATATGAGCATGGGGATTACAATAGAGGGAAACAGAGGCAGACCATGAATACCACTGTGCATTAAATAGGTGCAACAGAGAATAAAAGGACACACAGTGAAAATAAATCAGATGTCGAAGCCTCCTAAAAATCTTAAAAATTATAAATGGTTTCTGTATGGTTTCCATTGTACACAACTTAAACAAATCTGCAATGTTTTATCAGTTCACAGACTTATGTCTGACGTCCGTTTTCACTCCTCTGCCTCCCTGCAGCTTTCAGCTTGGACACAGAGCAGCCCGACTACGACCTGGACTCGGATGATGAGGCATTCGTCAACAAGCTGAAAAAGAAGATGGAGATCAGCTTCCTGCAATTCGAGGAGATGATTGACCGGCTGGAGAAAGGCAGTGGGCAGCAGGTCGGCACTGTTTGTGTCTCCGTCTTCCCTCAAACACAGCCGGCTTTACAGAAAGCCCCGTCAAATACCTTACAGACCACTGCACAATGAGATTTGGAAAAAAAACAGTGACACCTGCATTAAGTAGTCTGCAACACAAAATAGAAACCATTTATGGTATGACAGCATCAGCATGAATTCCCCACAGAGCCGATTTGTCACCCTCACTACTGTGCAAATACATGTTATTTATCACCATGTGTAACCTCCGTATCTCTTAGCTGGTGAGTCTTCCTGAGGCCAAACTGCTGCTGAAGGAGGACGATGAGCTCATTAAGGAGGTCTTCGACTACTGGAGTCGAAAGAGGAAAAACAGCAAGGCTAACTCGCTCATCCCCAACGTCAAGCAGGAGAAGCGAGACGGCTCCAGCACCAGTGACCCCTATGTGGCCTTCCGACGGCGCACAGAGAAGATGCAAACCAGGAAGGTCGGTTGACTTTCATTCATTCATTGTTGTACTGGCAGTTTGGATGTGGCTGTGATTGTTGTTAACTTCCAGATCCTTCCCTGTGTTGGCCTCAGTTATATGTCTGGGGCTTATTGCACTGTTACACTGTTGTTCTTTGAGAGTGTTATCATAGTTATTGTTTCTTTTATTAATTGACAATTGTCGGATAGAGTTTTGATCTTTTTGTTATGTTGTGCTGCAGCCTATGTTATTATGCTGTGGTGCAGAGATTGGGTATTATTTGAGATTTTTAGATGTTACCCATAATTCTCCTCATCTGTTCTTGATCAACTCCTCTAATTCTTGTCTTTGAGTTCAAAGCTAAAGCCACCTTTTATTTCAAGCTAATTAATGCTGACATTTGCCATAAATGACAATGTATTTTTGGATTTTCTCTGCTTTAAAAGTAACACACACAAGTTGAATGTTAGCTCTCACATTGTCCAGTTGGACACACTATCATTAGTTGATTCTATGGCAGTATGACTTCCACTGGGGACAAAATAAATTGTCCCCCTTTGCTTCAGGAAATATTTTGTCATGTTAGACAGCTTCCTCAATGCATGAACAAACTTTAAGACGATTACATTTCACTGCATCACTGTCTTTTGTGAAGCTGGGCCTGAATAGCCAGATCAAGTTTGTCGTATAAAACGCTACATGTAACCGAAACTGGGATGTAGTTGGGATAGATTCTCAGTATCTGACTCTGACAGGCAGACAACAGAAGAATGCTGTCAGGCACTGAAAGTACATTCAATGAACAGCATCTTAGTTCTCTTAGAGTGTGTAGTGCTGGCGTACAGCTTTGGGACCATCAGTACAGGTTTTATTAATGCTGTGTTTGACCCGATGGAATGAATTAAAGGGCAAGGTGTGAGATTTAGTCTGGTTTTAAATTGTTCTGTCTGCTCAACAAGCCGAGCTTCTGTGTGAAATGGTGATTTCTTTTTTTTTTTTTTCCCTTTTCATTGTTATGGTTAATATGGAAAAAGGCTTGAGTTCCTGATCAGAAATGTTTGGATACATACACCACAAAAATACATCAAGTCCATTGATGTATGAAGCTCTTTCACATTCACCCCAGTCCCTTATTTTAATTTTGTGATTTATACCCTGTTGAACATAGGGCAGACACTGACTCCATGAAGCTGTAGTTTCCTCTCAACCATCATGTGAAGGATGAATATGCCACCAAGTGGTCATTAGAAGAATTTAGCCTAATGCAGTTTTTAATCATCTTGATAACCTGTTTGCTTTTGTCCAAGTTAAGTCATAAATATTCAGAGTATTAATGAATTAATACCTGAGAAATGTCTCTCTGCACTGGATCAATATAAATCACCATGTAATTATTGTTAATTTAAGTGGTTTATTTTCTTGACCCTTTAGTTTTTGAAACTGCCATATAAATGTGCAACATATTTAAGTTTACATCTGCTTATTATAAGTTGGCTCTATTGCTTTTTCTCATGTGCTTTGCTCATACTTTTCCCACAGAATCGTAAGAATGACGAGGCATCCTATGAGAAGATGCTGAAGCTACGCAGGGATCTCAGCCGAGCTGTCACCATCCTGGAAATGATCAAGAGGAGGGAGAAGAGCAAGAGAGAGCTGCTGCACCTCACACTGGAGATCTTTGAGAAGAGGTGAGCCTGCCTCTGGGGCCGCACACATCATGCATTAGTACAGAAATAAAACAAAAAGCAGTTTGACAGCAGGCTGTCAAACACTATAAAGGAAGAAGTCAGCCATTTGCTCAAAGTGTGAAACTGAGATAAAAGAACCGTTGAAGCTATTTTTTTTTTCTATTTCTGTGGTACTTGATTTTTGGCACAGCTTCCAAAAGAAGTTTCATTGCTGTAGTTTGAGGGGAAAACGGAGAAATGTGTCAACTGAAATGGTATCATCGGAGTCTCTGATTGGCTAATCCTTTGTCCCTTTTCTTTTCTAGAAACGTCATGTCAGACTTTGGTGGTGAGGTGATGGCAGAGGTTCTGGCTGAACGGGCGCTGGTGAGGCCGCAGATCATTCCTCTGGTTCCCCTCACCAACCAGTACCGACACCAGGACCACATAGACCTCAAGGACTACAAGTCTAAGGTGAGCCCCACTTTTCGGTACACGCTTGACACAAGTCTAGATAATTTGGGGATGTTGGAAAAGAAAGTCCCTATGAACATCTGATCACACCCAGTGAGAAGGCTCTTTATCTGCAGGATGAAGTTAGGTTTTCGGTCGCATTGTTGTATTTTAGTGTTGCGTCTTCTTTCCCCTGTAGCCCGAGAAAATGGAAGTTCCCCGGCAGAAGAGGAAGTACGAGAAGAAGCAGAAGGTGCTGCCTCTGTCGTCGGGCACCCCACACCATCCGGGTCCTGTTGTTTTCAATCCCAAGGACCTCAACCAGTACGACTTCCCCAGCTCGGATGATGAGCCCTTCTCCCAGGTACACACACACACACACACACACACACATACTTAAACACAGGCACTCATTTATGCAAAGCCACGGACCATATGCAGACTGTATAGTGACAGTTAATCCTCTGTAACATGATTTATTTGTATACATTAGTTTTTTGTGTTAGCTTTTTCATTACTTCTAGTAAACATGATTTTGAAATTATGTTTTTAACAAAGAGGCAACTGATATTATGTCCTGATAAGAATTGTTGATTCTCAATTTGCTGAACAGGTAAGGCTTTTGAACAATAGGAATGCCAGAAAACTAGTTAGCTGGTCACTGACAGATCAGTTTATAACGTTAACGAGAAACTTATAAAACTACCACGAAGTATAAACCTGAACTCTTAAGTAGACCCTGGAACAAGAATTCAATGGAACTGTGAAAAATAAGTTTTTGTCTTAAATTGATGAGATGGTGATGGAAATTGGTGTCATGCCAAGTTTTACAGAAAAGAGCAACAATGCACAACAACATGTTAGTTGCAAATATTTAAGATTATAATCTTCTGTCTCTCTAACCGTTTTCTCTGTCCTACTGCAATTGAGCTTCCCGAGCCTTTTCCATACCTTTTTACTGTCGGAGTGACTTCAGAGAGAATGTGTTGAACCCCTGTTACTGCACTCTGCCCTTCATCTTTATAAATCCACTCAGAATTGCTAAACCACATGACAATTGGGTGGCAACTGATTTAAGCCATAACCTCTGGCTTTGGTGTTATTAATTGTGCTCTTCCACTGACCTCTGACTTCGGTGTCCACAGCTGCACTCAGGCTCATCAGAAGCAGAGGAGGAGAACGATCCAGATGGGGCCTACGCCTTTCGCAGGAAGGCAGGCTGCCAGTACTATGCTGTAAGTGACATCATCTTTTAATCCTGCACTGAATGTATAACAAAGCTGATTAGAGGTTCACATCCTGTAGCTAATTATGTAAATCATGATTACAGTGTTGAGCTTATGGGAGGCATAATAGATTATCGTGACTATGTTTAAATGCCAAATGGCTGAAGTGAAGTTTTGGCTGTTAAATTATTGTCCAGCTGTAGAAACATGTTTTGTAGTTTTCAGAACTTATCATTTACAGTAGGAGGACAGCATTTAGGAGTTAGATTTTAAGTTTATGTGAGTATTTTAGACATGTAGTACGTACACAGCAGCACGAGACAACTTGTTTTTACCGGGCTCAAAAGCAACAACTCACCTGCTGAAGACACCGGAGGGATTTTACTCTGACAGAAGGAAAGAAATGGGTGAGGTTCAGCATCCTTTCTCTCTCCAGGCTCGCCAGGACCGTGTGGGTAGCTGGCCGTGGTGTGGTCCCTGGGAGGGCGGTTTGGCAGAAGCTCGATTTCGCTACAGTCTCACCACGCTCACCGTGCCGCGGCGCTGCCTGGGCATGGCTCGACGACGCGTGGGACGAGGCGGCAGGTCAATTAACTTCCTTTTTTCGTTTGTTTGTTTTTGTTGTGCTTTTGCAACAATGTATTAAAATATCAAACCATACTATTCACTGGCTAAATGTATACCTTGTCAGTGGCTTGTGTACTGGACATGTAGCACAAGAGTGTATGATATTAAATTTTACAGGCACTTGTGGCTAACAACTTAGCTGTAGACAACTTTACATTGCTGGCAAAGAAGCAAGGACTGCTTAATTTTCTCTTTTTCACTCTCAGGTATTTTTATCTGATTGATTAATTGGTAGAAATCTGAATTATGAAAATAATTTATAGTTGCAGTACTAGTATCAAGAACTATAAAAAAGGCTCTCATACATAAATATCAGAAAGAAGCTGTTGTGATAATGCCAGACAGACGAGTCTACGTATCTGAATTGACGTGTCTCAGTGTTAAATCAGAAGGTCTGACCCTCTCTTCTTCTCTCAGGGTGCTGCTGGACAGGGCATACACGGACTATGACAACGTTTTCCACAGACTGGATCCAGAAATGCTCGACCTGCCTCTTTCCCCCTCTCCCCCTCCTCCCACAGCTACTTCACGCTCGCCGGCCATCGACAAGTTTGCCAGTACCTCAGAAACAAATACCTCGGACAGAAGTTCCTCCTCCTTCAACTCCTCTCTTCCCTCTTCCTCTCCCTCTTCCACGGACCTCAGTCAGATACTGTTGAATATAAAGTCGTGCCGATGGAGGCACTTTAGACCACGGACACTACCACTACACGAGCTGGATAACGCCCAGCCGCTATTCAGGAGGTTGAGTCGAGGCCTGAAACGCCCAGTCTTGGCCTCCGCAGCCGGGGGACAGCCCTATGGCTCTCAACGCCCGGGGAGGGTTGTCCCTGCACCCTCACCCATTGCTGGTAAGAAGCTTGGCTTCCCTGTGGATTCTCTCAAGCTCTGTTGGTTTAACTATTTTGCACCCGGGGCAGCTTGAGGTTGCGAGTCACCATCTCTGCTTTGATAATGAGTGACTTATTTAATTATGAAAATATTTTATTGAAAACAGGACACACACACCTCTAGCACCACTTTGATCCCTCAACCTTAGTGGTATTATTCCCTGTCAATATTTGGGGTTTTATTTGTCCTGGTGTTGAGATACCCATTTCTGATATTCTGCTCTCACCCCTCTACAATGGGGGTGAATATAAATGTGTTTTATGAAGAGAAAAAGTTGAGGATGCACACTCTTGTCAGATTGCTTCCCTTTTACCCTATTAGTATTTTTTGTGTGATCTATTGTGATCATTTCCCCTTTGTTTTTTGGGATTGTTTTTTTGTTTGTAAAAAGTAGTCCTTTTTTTTTCTTTTCTTTTCTTCTTTTGTTGCTTGGCATTCACACTCCATCACCTCCCACCCCACCCAGTCCACAAGGTGTCAATTAAAACAGGGTTTAATAAAAAAAAAATTCATGAGATGCACAGGAGTTATCGGGGTGTGTGGACAAAGAGGTGTGGAGCGTTGAATACAAACTAAATGCCACAGGTCCCTGGTGATATCACTGTGAGGGCAGTCGGGGTGGGGGGTTGATGTCGCTACAAGCTGCTTACAAGAGTTGTGCATGTTTTGGTGTGAAAGGAAAAACAACTGCCTATTGATTTTGTCTTGAAAAACTGATCTGCTTGCATAAATAAACTAAAGGACACAGAAAGAGCAAAGATCTGCATCTGTGCAGATTAAATACAGTAGTAAAAGTGGGTTGTATGCAGCGCTGAATTAATACGTGCAGTATTTTGATTAAATGAGACAGTGTCAGATTGCATGAGATAAGCATGTGGTGCCAGAGGACAAGGTGCGACTTTCAGTGATGAGTCCTGTTTCTTGTGTCGATTGCTGATAGACTCAAAGGGGAATAAGTAAATCAATATCGCACCGAGGCGCAAAGCCAGATAACACTAATCAATAGAAAGCCACCGAAGAAAGACTTCAGACCTTGTTATTCACAGGTTAAATGGTTGGGGTGCAAATAAGGCCATGGTGCAAGAACTTAAAAATAAGAAACCAAGTGACTGAGAGAAATCAGGTTGGATCAGATCATTTTAGCATGTGTTTACTGGAGTAACATGGTTACCGTCAACATGATGTGTGTACACGGAGCTCAGTTATGAGATTTCTTTCCTTCAGTGCATGATATATTTAAACCAAGTATGGAATATTTTAAGTGTATGACAAAATCCAAATGAAGTAAGATGGTTACTAAATGACATTTAATCACAGTTGTTAGCACTTATGAAAAGTTTGACCAAACTCCCGCAAGAACAGACCCACTCATTTAGTCTCATTGTCAGACTACAGGCTTAATATTGTCTATTTACTTTTAATAGAAGTGGTAAACTGCAGGCTCTTGACTCTCACACTCACAGCACCCAATATGTGGTCGAAACCTTACAGAACTTGCAAGTTGTGATGATATTTTCCACTGTAAGAATGTATTTCTTAATGTATATCATTCAGTTATTTATCAGCACAGTCTGTAGTAACGACATCAGTATAACAATGGCAAGAGTCAGCTTTTTCCGGAGCGGCTGAGCTGAGGAAAATGGCTGAAGTCTGAAACCCGAGTTGTAGTTTGTCTATCAGGCCCAGTCTTTTTGCAGTCTTGGCCGTTGCCTTATCAAACAATGCAGTGCTGAGAGGGTGGGTTAACTGTCTGACTAACCAAACAGGCATACCACAAAGAACCTTAAAGGTTCACTGGAAGAGGGAGGCAGAAAACCATCACTTGGTTCACTTGGCTGCTTACTAAAGCGTGATTTCTGTCACCAATAAGAAATTGAAAACAAATATTTCTGTATATATTTATACCGTCCAGAAACCTCTGAGAGGTTTCGGGGTTTGTGTAAGAGAGAAAGTTGAGGACTAAAACTGGATTCGAACATGAGTTGTGAGATTTATGTTCGTGAAGATAATCTTCCCAGGTTTTCATGTGGAGCTGGTGTAGTTTCAACTACTGGAGCTGCTAAACTGCAAGGAGCTACCAGCACTTAAGAGCTGCATCATATCTTGAAAGCACAGAGAGTGTGTGGCCTATCTGAATGGCTTAATATGCATCAGGCCCTCGTCCCAAACTGGGTTAAACACCAGTTGGAGTTGTTTTAGTTTCTAAATTTGAGAATCCCTCGCCAACAAAAGAATTCTCATGTCAGAGAAATGTGTTGAGTTTAGTAGATCCAAGGCAGTGGCATTTACATCTAGAAGAGTATTTTACAGGGATGGAGCTGTCTGCCTGTATCTTCCTCTTGGGGAAACTATGTGATTTGCACATTTCAAACATGTATATGATGGTACAAATCTGTTTCCAGATTTGTAACAAAACTTTTTTTGTCCCTCTCAGCTCTCACAGCCGAACAGTACCAGCAGCATCAGGAGCAGCTGGCCCTGATGCAGAAACAGCAGCTGGAGCAGATCCAGCTGCAACAGCAAGCCAACAGCACCACCACTGCCAACAGCACAGTGGTCAGTATTCTGCTTGTCAAGCCAGCGTCCGACGGTTACGTCTGTTCATTTTCTCTTTTGCTCTTTTCTCCCTCGCACTTCACCGCTCACAAACCCTTTGCCTCTCCCCAAACAGGGCCTGGCGAACACGTTGGACCAGGCCAGCGCTCAGTTCGCCGCCTCGGCCCTCGTCACCGCCGACCAACTGCTGGCTCTTAAAACCAAGGAGGAGCTAGCCCTGGGAGGTGGAGTCAATGGCGTCCTCTCCCCCTCAGGTATGGCAAACACCCATTGTTGGTGCTGGTAGGCTCAGTCAGTGGATTTCAGCTTTTACAAAGTGGTCTAATTAATGTTATTATTTTAGATAAAAAGAGTGGTCATTATTCTTGCCTGTTACATGAGCATCATCCATTTTAACTACTCACAACAACAAGCTCCATAAATGTTTATCATTTGGAGCAATTTTGGATTTTTATTGTTTTGTCCTGAATGTAACTTTTGAAAACTAATACAGTAGCATCCAGAGTTATAAAAACTAAAAGCACTTGCAATTTCAAGTGCACTTCGCCCAAGTGTAGCGACACTGTGTCACTAAACAGACAAAGCAAACAATGGCGGTAAAGTAATTACTGTCTAAAACCCATAATGGAGTGCACCAAAAGAGCAGATAACGGCACAAAGCAGACAGAACAAAACCTGCAGCACTAACCCCCGAACAACTGATGCCATTTGAGGCAGCAGGTTTGGGAGATAACCGTGGAATTTCATTTGAGATTTTTCTGCAGATGAAAACACATGCACCAAGGATCTGTCCTTCACAGATAAAAGTGCTGAAAACTAAAAGTCAGAAATGATTGTGGAAGATTTTTTGTTCTAATACTGACTTTCTTTGAGATTATGGTGGTAAAGAATAAATCCAGCTGATAACAGACCTCTTGCCTCACAGTGAAGATTTAATACCACACAACTGTGAATGATCTCAGAGTTTTAAAGTTAAGGAAAGTCTGTGTACACATTCTCAACAGCTTGTTTTGTTTGGTTTATGAAAGCTTTATCATTCACACTTTGAAAATCAAGCTTAATATTAATTATATATTCTAATAGTAGTTATTATATCACAGTTCATATTCAGTGCTTCCAAGTTTCAATATAAGTAATTTCAGTGTTTTTCTTCAAAGAACAGATAATTAATGATAATTAAAACCTTCCAACCCTCACCCCTGTCACCAATCACCCCCACCCTTCCCCCACCCTCCCCCACCATCGCCCGGCCTCTTTTGACCCACTCAGGTGTTTATAAGGGCTTGCACCTCTCGAGCACAGCATCCCCATCCCCCGCCGCCCCGGCTCCTCCCACCACTACCCCGACACCCGCCTTGCTCCACCCCTGCACCACCACCAGCTCCACCTCCGCTACCAGTAACAACAACGGCACCGCCCACCCTGCCAACACCACTACCACTAACACCGCCACCACTCAGGTCCTGCTGGGAAACAACAACAGCCTCCGTGTGGGTGTTCCCGCCGGCAAGCGTGTCCACGCACCCCGGACACTGAGCACCACCATGTCAACATCCGCCTTAAAGTTCACGCACACAACCGGCAACTGTCAGAAACCCAAGGTCACTACAGCGTCGGCCTCGCCGCTGGACATAGTGCCCAGGTGAGGAACACACAACAGGTGTGACAGACACTAAAGTGTGGAGGGGGGAGGTCAGCCGTGGTATTATCCCACAGGCTCAAAATAATTAGGGTGACATTTCAGTGGAAACTATCATCTGTCCTGAAATGGTCTGTGTATCAGTTTGTGACAATGGCTGCGGTCAAATTACACTTTATTACTACAGATGAAACAGTGTTTGACAAATCTAATGGTGTGCAAAATATAATTAGAATAATAATGATAACAACAATAAATGAACAGACACTGAATAGGAACTTATCAGTATATTCAACTGCTGTGCTTCTGTACTAAAGCAAATTATATCAGATATACTGCTGCTAGACTCACTAAACAGAAGATAAACCTGTACGTCCATGAAACTAGTAAATATCACCTTAAGTGGTAAAGTGTTTGTAAATGACTGGTTGAGTGGCTTGTGTAAAGTGTTGATATTCCTAAAACAAAATGTTTACATAATCCAATTTCTCCCCTTGATCATATTATGAAAGTTTCAGCCTATTGTGGTTAAACAGAATTAGATTTCACTTGAGGTGTATAATTTATTAGTGATGGAGAAAAGGGCTTCAGTGAAATGCAGCCAATATCGGTAGCTGAAAAGTAGCGGGTGACAGTTTAGGCCATCTTCCGCTGCAGGAACATGAGCATTGCTAAATGTAACTGCCAGGAACTTTCAGGGGTTGTTGGCAGTGCTGTTGGTCACAACTGGTCGAGCAGATGTGTCATCACATCACAACAAAGGCAACATCTGGCAAGAATGAGAGTACATGCTGCCAAACAGTGCAGGGAAAAAATTCGAAAAAGATGAACAGGATAGAAAGATCGGGGATTGGTGGAACTAAGAGTAAAAACTAGGGTTCAATGCACTTTTTTTGTACAATTCATGTTGTTTTTTTGGGGGGGTTTTGGGTTCTTGTTTTTTTTTGGGGTTTTTTTAGTTCACACACAACACAGTGCAGTAAATCAGTGAAGAACAGGTAACAAAAGAAACAGTAGCTAATCCAAGTAAAACAGGTGGAACCAATAAAATAAGACCAAAATGTGCAAAGGTTTGGGCCACCAACCAGCAGCAGTACAAGTAAATTAGAAGTGTCAACAAAATGTAAAGGTACTTATTAGACAGCAGATGCTGCTGTGTTAAACAGTAACACTAAGAATTTTTTAAGCATCACTGTATACATTGAGATTTGATTTTTAAATGTAAAATCTTGATCTACACCATATCAAGTGACTGCAACTGTAGAATACGTCTACACAGGTAAAAGTATAAAGTAGCAGAAAATGTATTTTCAAGTACCTCAAAACAATCGAGTAAAAAGTTCCACCTGGAACGAGCCCCCAGACTCTTAAGGCTCTGTATGAAGCATCACTGTTTCAGTTGTTTTCTGTTGCACAGCTGTTTACTTCACTTACCTACCAAATCCAACATAAAATGTCTCTCTAATAAATGATATCTGAAGCGTTCAGTTGTGAATATACAGCGGAAAGTTAGGTTTAATAAAAGTCCAGGTTATGAGTTCAGTTCCTGCAGTGTTAAAGGGCTGTTTGTACATTTAAGAAACTACTTTAAATACTAACTTCTTGCTGCTGACAGTGTGTCTTACTTTGTCTTGTCTTTCTTTTTATCCTCAGGGAGAATCACGAACAAGACAAGCCAGCACTGAACAGTCTATCAGAGAACACAGTGGCCATGGAGGTTACGTAGCCTCCCGTACGCAGGACGGGGGAAGCGTGACTGCTTTTGTTGTTGGGTTTTTTTTAGGTGCTATGCATCATTTGTTAGTCATGAATGCAAGTGGTTGCAGAATGAGCATGGCAAGGCTGGGTTTCCATGGCAACTGTTTTGGGACTTAATTGCAATGCTCGTCTCGTACAATTTTTTTCTCTCCCTCCCATTTCCCTATTTGTTACTGTTAATAAGAGATCGTCTGTAAATTCTTAATATGGCAATTATATGTACAGTACTGCATATTTGTAATACCCCCCCTCCCCAACCCCCCTGTTCTTGTATATAACATTACTTGAATACAGAATTGTTCATTTGTGATGTTTTGCACTCGAGATATAAAAAAAAAAAAAATCAAAATTAAAAAGAGAAAACGACAAACTGCAACTGGTGAGAGTATGAGGTGTGAAAGTTGTATCACAGAAAAATGTATGTCATCACATGCATGGTGCGGAACCTGCTGTTTGATCTATTTATTGTGCCGTGTTTACAAAGGGGTTTTTTTTTTTTTTTTTCTTCCTTTCCGTTCATTATTTTTTTTAAATCTTTTTTTTTTTTTTTTTTATACACTGTACCCCTCACCGGTTCCCCGTGCTGTAGTCAGTGTTTAGCTAGTTTTAAACAACTCTGTATTTTTTGGGATGTTGTGAACATGGCGGGGGGGGTTCGCTCGTTTCTGTTGGGCGTCCTTCCACGATGTTCCCATGTGTCATGTTGAATCCATGGAGACATGCTTTCATGCAGATTCAGGTGCAGCAGGGCAGTAGATGAAGAAGAAGACGACAGGTGTGAATTTGTTTGTTGTAGGAATCAGTTTGTCAGTGGGTTAATCAATTTCCACAAAGCTCTTCCATACGTATATTATTCCTGAGACAAGTAACAAAACAATGGGGATGAAGACTCTTTCCCAGAAGACTTTGCTGCTTCTGACTTATCTAAGCACTATATAATTTGTTTTTTTAATCGATTGATGCTGCTTTTGTATGATTTGGCCTCTGGTTTTTACCTGGCGGTCTCGTTTCCTTTTCGTTTTCTCTAAAAGATAATCCCCCCACCTCCCCTTATCATTTTTTAAAATAAATATTTTTGTATCTCCCACTTTTTTTATTTTGGTTTTCCTCACAAAAGACTTCATTCTTTTGTTACTTGTTCTAAAAAAAAAAAAAACTATAAGGGAGTAAAAAAAAAAAATGCAGTAACTGACATTTATTATCATTCCAGCTTCTACATAATAAGGAAGAAAACATGTATTAATTGAAAAAAAAAAAATAAAGATCGTTTTCTCTACTTTTAAAACTCTCCAGAAGGCTGAAAGGCCATGAACCACAAGTTATCGGGTGCCTTCATTTGGGAAAAAAAAGAAAAAACCTAAAAAAAAAAAATCACTCTCTTCTGTGAAGAGTTCGGTACTGAACAAGGCTACTTGTAGTTTTTCTTTGTCTGTACCACAATCCCAATGCCCATTCCAGTGGCCCAATTGATTCATGAGTTTTTTTGTTTTGTTTTTTTTGTAGTCTCTTCCACCACCACCACACACACACTCACACACACTCTCACACACACTCTCACACACACTCTCTCACTCACACACAAACACACACACACACACACACTCTCTCTCACACACACACACACACACACACACACTCTCACACACTCATGGGAAAGACTAAGAATCCTCTTGAACTGTCACAAAATGAAATAAAAATCCAGGGCATTATGTGTTTTGACCAGCATGTCTCGTTCTTTGTCGTCTTTGTCTTTAATTTGTCATTAAGTGAATGAACTTGAATGCAGTAGAGACTGGTGTGGGTTGTGGGAAACGACCACCAAGCTCCAGCCAAATGCTGTTACAACTTTGGCTGTGTGTGTTAAGTTTGTCAGTCCCTGGAGCTTGCAGGTTCGGTGTAGCTTTGACTCCACAAACCAAAACACACAAACCTTTCATCATTTTAAAATCAAACATTTTCAAATAAACTTCCTTTCTAGAAGAATGAAAACCTGCATGAGTGTTCCTAGCCCTTTATTGTATGACTCCATATCTACTTTATGACAGACTATGTTTTGACTATGTTAAGAACTGCGTGTCAGTATTTCAGTGCATAGTATTGTGATCCACACCTGCGAAGAGCTTGTGTTCACCTCTTGGAGGTAATTGCTAATTTGTCTTTTTGTTTTGTTTTTTTTTAAATTAATGTAGACATCAAATTACTCACATTTGATCAGTAAAAATATATATGAAGTTCAAGTGAATGGCATAAGTGCTGTAACTTTGAAACAAATTCATAAGTAAAATTTGGCATACATGTAGCAGCAATGCCTAAGCACTGGATATACACTCCAAACTTGTTCTGACTTCTTCTCAGCTCCTGAAAAAGGCCAGCCAGGAACACTTGCTGTTTACCTGTGTTTCCTATTCACTGAAGTAAACACAAATTGGGTAGGATAAGAGATGACATTTAAATGTAAATTCTACATTTTAGAGGAGGAAAGGAGGAAAAGACGAAAGTCGATAAGAGCTGGAAAATAAATGAATCTAACTCCCAGAGAGAGAGATTGCCTTTACCATGTGTCTGACTTGATCATATTTGGATCTTTGCCTGGTAATTGCTTGTTCCAAAAAAAAAGTAGAAAGAGAAGAAAAGTGTAAATGTAAAAAGTTTTTAGACGTGAGAGAAGGTGATATCAGCTCTTGGAAAAGTTTGCACCTCAAAACAAGAAGGTTGTGCAAGACTGTTATATAGTAATAAATCTGGCTGTAGTCTTGTTCCAGGTTTAAGAGTGCAGCAAGATGTAAAAGCAAATAAGTTGTTTGGCAGATAAAGAAAGCAATTAAGTGCATTCTAGAGGTGGTAAAGGAAAGGAAAATAGCCAGGTTGTTTGTGTCAGATTCTCTATGTGAAGTATTTTTTGTAAGTTTGTATCCTATGAAAAAAGGTATTTTAAAGTAGAGATATTAGTGACCTGCCCGTCTGAAGATTGTCAGACATCTGAAGTGGTACTAAATAGAAGGTTAACTTTGCTCATTAGTTTTTCCAGTGTAAAATCAGCTGAATTTGCTGTAATAGGTTTGATAATATTAATGTTACTCACAGGCCCTAAAAGTTGCGTCTTATATGAACATATCAAACGACAAAAGAGATGGAAACCTGGATCTTATTTTGTTTCATTCTTTCGCCTCTGAATCAGACACTCTGATTGGCTGTGACAGCACCCACTGGAGCCAATAGGAATATCGAATTGAGTGACGTGCTGTAGACGTCACAAGCAAAGAATGCGGATGAGAATAAATCAATCGATAAATACTGAGCACCTGTCTGTATATTCTGTTCATTGTCGTTCAATAAAGTTTTGTGAAAAAATAAAAAATAAAAAAATAAATCAATCGATAAACTCACAGAGAAAGCAGCAATACCTTCCAAACAGTAAGAATACTCCGTATCTTTCCTAACTTTTAATATTAGTGTATCGATTGGTCAGTGACTCACGGGCTTGTTAGAAAGATAAGATTATCCAGTTTAAGGAGAAAAAAACAGCACGCGCTACCTCAAACGGTCGCGGAGCAATGACGCTGTAAAGACAAAGTGAAATTTGAAAGTATAAGCTCCCATGGGTCTAAGGGGGTTGAGGAGGAACATGTTCGAAATACGCAAATGAGAAATTACCCCAAAGTTGACATCAGTATGTTCCCCTGTATAAACACTGACTTTTTAGAAAGCAACAGTTTGTCGTTGGCCAAATCGTGAACATCTCTGTATACCTCATGCAGAGTTTACCTGTGCCAGGTGCACTTTGTCTTTTTTAACTACAACAGTTGTCTGAACCGTTCTGGCAATGTCCAGTTAAACTTTGGACATATTCACTATTTTCTGCAATTAGAAATCTTGTATTACAGGGCAACTTAACCAGAGTTGTTGTTGGCAGGTAAATGATTTTTTCTATTCACTACCTACTGCCATATTTCCCCAGATAATCTGGTTTCAAAATTGTTGGTATAATTGTTGGTATATGCGTTTGACATCCAGACCTCTGGTGGTTTCAGATCACCACACACCAGTCTTCAGATTTATAAGTAATTATATCCAGGACAAGTAAAATTATTTATACAGATTTTGTATGTACCATAGAGCTCCACTGTTGTCCAAAAACTATTATAAACACATTAATCACAAGGATATTTCCAAGAATGGCCTGTGCAGTTTGGTGCAATGTATAAGGGAAATAGAGAAAGTGTTAGTTGCTACAGTTGTGGTAGTACATGCTCATCTTTATGCCTCCACGCCGGCGACAGCCATATTGTTTTCGGGTTGTTCATCTGTACCTCTTTCCGTCTGTCTGTCCCATTCTTGTGGACACGATATCTCAGTAACAGCTCGATGGAATTTCTTCAAATTTGGCACACACATTCACTTGGACTCAAGGATGAACTGATTATATTTTGGTGGTCAAAGGTCAAGGTCACTGTGACCCATCAAAAAACGGTTTTGGCCTTGTGAATGTGATATTTCAATAACTCGGAGGCATACAACCGTGAGGCGGTAATTCTAGTTGAGTTTTGTAGTAGTAGGTAAGTGAAAAATAGTTGCATTTCTGCATTTCCTAGAAAAACTACCAGAAATACTTCATTTGAATCCTTCATGACTTTGCAAAACTTGTGTTCATTGACATCAGTGATATTTGTTGCTGTGTAAGCTCTGCTGCTGTAGTAAATGAAAGCTTGGTGATGCCAGCCGGTCGGTGCTTTGAGCGAAGTTATTTTCTATAGAGCACAATCAAAGCTGAAAAGAGCGGGGCACAAAAGATGCTCTCAAACCCCGGCCTCATTATCTGTGCTCTTGGCCTGCATGTATACTGACTTTATCTCTCCCGGCCACCTTTATATCTTCGTCTATAGTCACTGCTTTCAATTACCAGGCAGAGCCCTAATGAACAGCAGATACACTCGGTGGAGATGTTGTGGACTGGCAGACTCATTAAAAGCTGATGACTCAGAGGGCAAATAGGGATGATCAAGGTTGTCTGCAAACGCCTGATCACTTTGACTCAATAGCAGTCTGGTTTCTAAGCCCACTCACAATGTGGAGTGTTTCACTCCTTGTTCTTTGATTTGAAAGTGGAGTATCCATCGCTACTCGTCTGTCTCTCCAGTAATCTTGCAGCACATCAGGATGACGGCTTGCATCTTCTGGACTGTGCATATGTGAATTAAATGAGTTGTTTGCTATTCTCTGTCTTACAAGTTCTCTGAAGTTTTATAATGTTATCACTAAAAACAAAAGAACATTTACAATTTGTTGTAACAACACAGTCAACTAGGATGCCTGATTAATCTCATTATGTTTGCCTTGAATGCATAGTCAAATGTTTGCAGAAAGAAATGCATACCAGATAGTGTGAGCTCCAACTACAAGAACTAATACTGTATCTACAGTGAGGTACAATTTGTTGTCTGTAATAGCTGTGTTAAGAAAAGAAGAAGTAACGGGTAGGAGGTTTCTGAAGCTATTCGACCATCTGACGAGCACTTTTAATGAAGTACACCGGTGTCTTTAGGTTAGCAGAATAGTTCAGTCCCAGCTACAGCATATTGTCTACTAGTGGCAGTGTACTCTGTTCTGTCAAAGTACAATGAAACCTTTCAGATAATGAGAGAAAACTTGAAGGAATCTCATGGGCGATCTGGGCCACTGCAGCAGCAAATGAAGTGATACAAACCAAAGTAAAAAAGTAATTTAAATGATAATAGATGCAAACATCACACCACTTCTATTATAATTTAAACTTTAAATTGAATGTAAGGAGTATCAAGAGCAGCAGCTAGAAGCCCTCACCCCCAACACTAAAGAGTGAAGACATAGTAACTCTGAAGACAGAGAGCCCAAGAAGTGATGCAATTGTGAGTGAAAAGGGGAAAGAAGAGAGAGGGGCTTTGTGTTTTTTTAAAAAAGAAAATACAAGTTCAGCCTCAGGGGAGGGTGGTGATGATGCGTTGGTGTTAATTTTAATGCAGTTGGTGGTCTTATGTCAGACTGGTCTGACTAGGACATAACTGCACACCTGCAACATGTGTCATGTTGTGAAGTTACATTCACATGTTTCTTTTCTCCAAAATTAGACTCAGGGATTTTGTTAAAAAGTCTCTGTGTACCGTCTGAAAGCATCATAATTCAGGATATGACCGGGAACACTGTGCCTTTTTTCTTTTGTGTGAGTGTTTTTTCTTTTTTTTAACCTAGTAAAAGAGTAAAAACCGAGGCTCGTGTCAGTCCGACCACAGAACAAAACTCAATTATGAGTTTTTGATAGTGTCAGCAGAAACTGTCCAAAAAGCAAGTCTGTGGTAAGGGAATCCTAATTTCACAGCCGCCCACGTGCTCCGCTTCTATAGATCTCATATTACCCTGGATCCCTGGAGGGGAGCAGGATGAAGACAGCATTGTTGGTTACACAATTGCATTATGTCTCTGTTAGTGTGTGTGTGTGTGTGTGTGTGTGTGTGTGTGTGTGTGTGTGTGTGTGTGTGTGTGTGTGTGTGTGTGTGTGAGACATAGAGAGAAAGTGGGGGGTGACAGAGAAGGCGAGAAGGGAGATATTTTTATGTAAACTTGTTAATTCAAGGTGTGAGAGATGAAAGAAAGCGTGACTGTGTGTGAGAGAAATGACTGCATTATTTATGTATGAGCTTGCTCATTCAAGCTGTGAGGTGTGTGCGGTAGCTCTGGTAATGTTTTTCTTTCTTTCTTTTTTTTGGCGATTTTTTTTACAAAGGGATTATGTTCGGTCTTGTTTTCACTTCATCTGTCTTTTCCTGTTTTGTGGTTTTGTGCACAAGCCTCCTCATTGTCTCCAAATGAGGTCTGACACAGTCCAAACCACATTACATTTCACAAAAATATGACAACATACCATAAATTCGAAAGCATGCTAATAACATTTGACCAATTAGCTAGCCTCAGTTTGGGTTAGCATAATCAGATATTTCGCAAACTAAACTGTATGAAGACTTGCTTGTGATGCTACAGTGACTTCCTGTTGACTGCTCCTTGGTCAGTGCTATAGATGTTTCCTTCCAACTGATTTACACATTGCTAAAGTCTTTACTAGTTGTTGTATTCAAATGGCTCCTTTTAGTAAACCAACACCAGGGTATTCAGTTTATTATCATATATGACCAACAAGGCAGGGAAGTCAGAAAGAATTAAGAGACAGGACAACTTCTAACTTTAACTCTTGGCAGTATGAACAATATATAGAGCTTATTTTGTCTTCATATACCTCGGCTGAATTCACTTTGAACAGTTTTCAGTAGAACTACCTCCTACCAAGTAATTATTCCCTATTAAATCTGATTATTCACAGTAATGGGAACATTGTTATTGGAAAGAGGTGTTTTTTCAATGCTTTCAGCACTAAAAATGAAATTCCATTAACCTTGTATCAGCATGCAGGCAGAAATATTGGAAACAAAACCTTAGCAAATAAAACCAAAACTACCTGCATAGCTGGATACAACTTGGTGAAAATAAATTCTCATGTTCATCAGGTATTGGTGTATCTCAGAGATGGTCCTTGTCAAACTCACATTTGTTCCACAGAACACACTCCAATGTGTTTTTGATGCAATACATTGTTAAAGTCGTAACATGAGTGTCCTGATTCACTCTGTCAAAGCTGAAAGGTTTTGGTTCTCAACTGAAATACATCTTTTCCTGGTGGTGTGTACAAAAAAATGTAAATGCCAAATGGTTTTGATAATGTGTACTGTGTATTACATCTACAACAAAATTTTACAACCAATTGATTAACCAATTGACAACAAAAGGTATTAAATTGAACAAAAGCTGAGGTTTTCCCTTTCACAGTTTGCATCAAAGGTTTTGCATAGTTTTGCACTAATCTATTGTAGATAATGTAAATAACAGACTGTTGTAAATCCCCATAGATATGACCTTGTATCGACAAATATGATCAGTGATTTGTGTCTCGACCATAAATAGGTAGCAGGTTTCTAAGGCAACAATAGCAACTGTATTTTTGTTTACCCATGAATCATACAGGTCACTCTGTATGGAGGCTGGACAGCCCATCCATTACATTTCAAGTCTCATAGTGCAACACAAACATAAGCTGTTTTTAGCACTCACCAGCTAATGGGAAAAATGAAATCTGACCTTAGATATAACCCTAAAACAAGTTTTCTAAATCTGTTTTATTTTTAAAATGAAAAAAAAAAGAACAATATTGTTCAAAGGCACATCAGCAACACGCTCACTTTTTGGTGTGGGCATCTAACCAGCAGCTCCTCAGCAGAACCAGCAACTTCCTGAACTTAATGATATTTTAATCCCAGAGGATTACATAACCCCACGTGTTCAGGGACAAAAGGATTCTTAGTGGAAACAGTGTGAAGTAGGAAGGCGACAGCAAGCGTGGAAAATCCAATTGTAGCCCGTGTGTGTGTGTGTGTGTGTGTGTGTGTGTGTGTGTGTGTGTGTGTGTGTGTGTGTGTGTGTGTGTGTGTGTGTGTAATTTACAAATGAAGGGAAAAGCTCGGGAGACTGTGAACTGCAGGGATTGTTGATAACTGGCACCACCTAGTGGTTAAATTGTGTTTCTAATATACTGTACACTATGTAACAAAACGTAGGCTACATTTCTAATAGTTTTATTCTGTGTACATTTATTGTGCAGGATTTGAAGTTGTACTAGCATGAGAGCATTTGGACCGATTTGGAAACATGAACATATAATGATCCTCAGATTTGTAATTCTTATTAAAAGTATAGCCATCCTTAACTTTTTGTGTGCGCAGCATGTATAAATCAGCCATGTTTAATGTGCTGGCATTCATGGCTTTCATGACCAATTAGTATGAAATATTAATGCATCAATAATCTTGGCAGTTTGTATCCGCGGTGCAGACTTGAGACTTGTGCTCGAGTCAGATTTAAGTCATAAAATGAGAACTTAAGATATTCAAGTCTGAATTGTGACATGTACCCTGACCCTGTAATTATACAAAATAAGTCAGACAGTGACAGGGAAGCCTTTCATAGCCATATGAACTTATTTGACTATAGGCCTGCACTGAAAGTACATAGTATCATACGTAAAAGACTTAAAAAACATATAAAAACATAAAGCATTTCACTACAATATACACGTCCTTATTTTTTTATTGAGTCTTATTAGTGAAAGCAATGGCATGTAGCCAGCATACATAAAATAAAAGGACAGAGTCGCTGTTGATCTGATTTTACCTTTATTTACTCAGGGTGGAGGAATCAAGCGTCCATTTAAAGTGTTTCTCAGGAACTCTCTGCTCCACACTCACACTGCCGTGCACTGTTGCAGAACAGCCACAGACGTGGTTTGTTAGATATTGAGCAAATACACTGAAATATTTAGAGGTTAGGTGTCTTGCTCAAGTGGAAAACCAACATCTAACTTCAAAGATGTTTCTTATGATGGTAAAACTTTTGCTGTAACACATTTTACCTCCTTCTCTCTATTTTCTGAATACATGAGCTTTAAGTGACAACACAAAATCATTAGGATCTTTACATTAGAGGTGAATGGCAGCTACTGTTGTTGTGTTCAACTGGCTCATTTTGTGTACTGTATGTCTTCGATGGACTGAAGAGATCATTTTGTGTTGAGGAGCAGTAGAACCAGAGCAAATAACTTTTCCCCCTGAAACTTAAATGCTGATTTGCATAAAGCATATAAATATTAAAATATTATATAGGGCCAAATAGGTAAAATACTATTTTCAAATTAAGGTTTCTGCTGTTCACAGTAAGATGTAGTGAATTAAAAACACATACTGTAAATTCATAGTCAAAAGATGCTTGCTACTGTCAGTACATTCAAAAAACCACAGTATCCAAAGGCCTGTTTCAGCCATAGTAATATGTAAACACATTATAACTAAAAACAAATAATAGAAAAACATCTGAAATCACTGTGATGTGGAACTAAACTGATAATATCTAAAAACAAATATATTAAAAACTCCTTTGTAATGTTTTCTTATTTATGGCAGACAAAGAAAAACAACAAAGTGATATATAATTATCATGATCATGCACTGTCACTATAAACATCAGCTTCTAAACCCTAAATTAGGATTTTTAAGTATATGAATTCTGGATGTAAACATACAGTAAAATCTGTCAACATCACTTTAATAACAGATTCTTGAAAATGCTAGTTTTCTGTTTATAGTTTAACATAATTAAATCATTTACAGTGTCAATACACATTTTACTGTCACACAGTCAGTCCTTGTGCCAGGAACTCTGTCAGTTTGTAAGTGATGAAAATGAAATGGAATAAAAAATAACGAAGAAACAGTTGACACAATGAAAATAACAGCAGTCACAACCTCTGAGAACAGAGGTTAAAAAACCACCTCTGGCATCCTGTTGTAATTTAAAGTTCAGTTATCCAGCCATGCAGACATTAATATGGTGTTATCTATGTCTGCATTCATTTCTACTGGAAGTTTGGACATGGAAATTTTGTCCCAAATACTTGCTCAGAATAGTTCACAGACCTCACTATCATCAATGTTTTTATACTGAAAACTTGTAACAGGAAAAAATGCTTCTAGTAAGACTCGATCATATTAGGTTGACAGCAGACCAATTTTCAAAATATTGTAAAACAGACTGTCTCCCTGGCTAAGTGAGATAATATGTGTTAGTATATTGAGTGGACTGACCCTTTAAATTTCAGTGAAAAGGTCTTTACAATCCAGCTGGACTGTCAGTGACACCTCAGATCCCTAATTACCAGATCATTTACAGCACGGCTGCATGTATGACTATCATGTTGATTTTTAGAGGAACAAGTAGCAGAGAGAAGCCAGTGAATGGACATGTAAGAAAGAGGTTTACTTAAGCTGAATGTAGTGGAGTTAACCCACCTGGTGACCACTTTTTTTCACTGGGTTTAAGAAGTGAAGATGGAACATTGAAAATACAACATTTCAAAATGTTGAAGTCTTTGACACATTCATCTCATAGTTAAAAATCTGAGTCGACACCTCAGATCCGATTGGACATCATCCTGGTGTTCAGTTTCAGAAAGAACGACTTCAGCTTGCACAGCCGGCACCTCGTCTTCTTCCTCTTCTTCTTGCTGTTCTTGCCTTTCTTGTACACCCCTTGATATTTTCCCTCCTCGCCCTCCTCTTCCTCCACCCAGGGCACCCAGGCGCCGCCGTGCTCGTTGGGATTGGCTCGAGGGTCGTCAGGGGGGAAGTAAACTGGAACGGCTGTTTGGTTGTAGTAAGCAAGCCGGGCCAGCAGCTGTTGGACCACATCTGGCCTTTGGTCTGCCATGTCGTGCCGCTCGTACGGGTCGCCTGTGATGTTGAACAGCCAGATGTTTTTGTGGTAGGAGGATTTGTAGAAAGACGAGAGGGTGCGTTCAAGGTTCCACCAGCGACCAGGGAGAGTGGCGAGTACCTGAGGATCAAAATTTTAATCGTGATGATTATTTCATGATCAATTTGAATCAGAGTAAAAATAATCCTACTAACATTGGTCTAAATGTGTTACAATACCTGTGGGGGGACCCAGTCTCCATGGCCTGGGTCTCCTGTTAGCAGCTTCCAGTCCCCGACTCTGATAGCAGCCTGGACTGATGTGTCCCACACCGGCTGGGATAACTGAGGCCTAAACTGGGGCATTGGATGGGATGTCATCGGCTGGGACGTGTTCTGATATTGGGATAACATCCTCCTGGACTTAGTCTTTAAATGTAATCTGAGCTGTGGATTTTGGATCTTGGATTTTGGCTGAGGTGATCCTGACCCTGACAAGTGCTGCTTCTGGGACGTGGCCCGCCTGGATTTTGTCCTTAAACGTGACTGAACCTGAGGCTGAGATCTGAGTCGGGACATTCCTGACACTGATGGAGCACCACTAGAGTGGGACTCCTGATGAGGCCTGTAGTGGGACAGGAACTGATGCTGGTAGGCTTTGGTCTTGGGTTTAGGTATGGGCTTTGATTTTGGGAGGGGCTTATGCTTCAGTTTGGGAGGGGGCTTGGATTTAGCTCTGGGTTTAGGTTTAGCAGCATGATGGGAAAATGTCTGAGGTTTCTTGGTGGTTTTTAACCTGAACGCTGACTTTTGCTTTGGTTGCTGCCTCAGAATTTTCTTCTTCTTCTTTGGCTTCTTAAATGCTGGACCTTTTGATGAGTGTACTGACAAAAAAACACACAAATGACAGGTATAAAGAAAACACTCCTTTAACCTCTGCCTTCCTTCCTACATATCTACATTTCTGTCTTCACTCCTTTTGGCACTATATGTCTCTCTTTTGCTGTCACTTCCTTTGAATTATATATTCCTTCTTTTTTCCTGTTTTTCTTGCTTGGGTTTATTATTTTACTAGTTCCTTTCCTTCTTTTCTTGTCTTCCTATTATGCAAATTGTCATGTGCTTTATATAACCTACCTACTAAGTGTGCACAAATGAAACTGGTGCTGTTTTAAAGGCAAAAGGTGGTCTCAACAAATATTGATTTGATTTAGGTTTTTCTGTTTACTACACCTTGTTTTGCATTGATTGATAAATAAAAACTATTCACGGAATCATTCCTTAAACCTTTGCACAATACTGTATACAGTTCATTACTAATATACAGGACCACTGAGCAGACTCCATCCGCTGATAGAAGACATGAGATGTGGTTGAAAGCTTAACCTGAACAATTTTTTTCCAAGCTCAAGATTTCATACTTAAAAATAATACTGTTAATTTCAGAGACATAAAATGTCAGAAGAAGCTAAATACACTTGCCTTTGAACTATCCTGCTTTTCACTGATACTGTTACTGTTTCCACTAAAAATAACTGGTGCTCTGTAACCTGAGTAAACATCTGTAATACCTTTATCTTTACAGTGGCTGTTGAGTACAACAACGTTTGACATTTTCCTGTTAGTTACCTGAGGCTTCCTCTGTGCCCACGTCCCAGGTCATGGTTTGAACCGGAGGTTTGTGCAGGGGGTCGATGTTGTGAAGGATCTCCTGACGAGGTGACTCCTTCCCTTCGCTGATGGTGGGCCAAACATCAAAACCATCCAGGCCCTGACTCTGAGAAGGAGACAAGTACATACATCACAAAGAATACAAAGCAAGGTAAGGAAAGGTCTCTTTTAATGAGTGAAAGAAGATACTATGAAACCAGAATGTTGCCAGAAGAAGTACTTGTACATTCACCACACAGGAGTAAATAATTACAAATTCCCTTTGGTAACAAAGGCTATAGAGTGTCTGGATGAGTCAGATATGTGTGCTGATTGGTGATAGACTTGCTCATCTGCTTTTCCAATGGAAACCTACTTTCATATGAAGCCAATAAAGCTTTTTGGGAACTGAACACACACTGCATTTACTTGCCAATGAAAGAAATTTATGTCTGATCTAAGCACAAAGCGTCTATGAAGCCAATGTTTGGGAAAAGTGCACTCATCAAAATAAGTCAAGAGCACATTTATCTACATGACAGTCAGTCAAGTAATGACAGTTTTACAGTAGCATTGTAACCTGAACTTTAGTAAAGTCTGAAGCCATATCACTGCTGACTGTAACAACAAATAAACTCATCCATTGAGATAAAATCAGTGGTAGATACAGAGTCAGTCAAGTTACCACAGAGCAAATTATAGCAGACAACTGGAAAAAAAAACATACAGAACCCTGAATCCAGTGGACTCTGAACAGCTTTACAGCGACATGAGTGCTTATATCGGTAGCTTGGATGTCCATGGTGAGAAATGCATCCTTATCTCTGGTCTGTTTTGCAGCACAATAAAATGGTCCGGTATCTGACCTTTGCTATCTAACAGTCATTGTAAAGACAGGCCTGAAGATAAGCATCAAAGCCAAAAACACATTCAAAAGTCCTAAAAAGGGTAAGAAATAGCAAGAATGCAACACATATGTTGTTATAGGAAAGTACTGAGCTCCACTGACCTGGCTGATGTTTCCCCCGGCCAGGCTCACCAGCGTGGGGAACCAGTCAGTGATGTGGAGCAGAGCTTTGGAGACGCGTCTCCTGCGTCTCAGCAGAGGACTGTGTACAAATGCCACACCGCGGACTCCGCCCTCCCAATATGTACCCTGAAAACACAGCAATGAAGTTCATTTGTTATAAATATGTTAAAATAAATTTCTTAAGTGCATGAAACTGTGGCAGAAAAACATAATGATACCTTACGGCCTCGCAGCGGCCAGTTGCTGCCTCCTGTAAACGGCTGGGCACCGTTGTCGGTGGAGTAGATGATGACACTGTTCTTGTAGTATCCGTACTTTCTGAGGGCGTAGGTGACGTTTCGGACCGCCTCGTCCACTGTGGAAACCATGGCGGCAAACTTTCTCCTGGCAACGTTAGCCATGTCACGGTAGGGGTAGATGTAAGGCTTAGGAGGCTGTAGAGGAGTGTGGACTGCCTGGTGGAAACATGTTTTCACAGTTTAGAGAAATACAGTGAGCTTTTCAAAGTTCTGAAAAGGGAAGCACCTTGATTCTTAGATAAACTGTATAATCCTTACCAACTATGTTATAGTTATTTCATAAGGTTTTTTTTTCATGTTAACCCATGTTCCTCAATTTTCTCATCTACCTCTACTTCAGTTAGTGATGTCTTGAATTTCCCAGAATGGCCCACGGCACTAATTCATGGTGCATATGTTGGAACGCCTTAACAGGGAAAATCAAAATAAAACAGCCCTTTATTTTGCTGCTCTTTGCCAGGACATTGGCTATATTTTCTCAAATCCCCCCTAAGCTCAAAACTTCTAATCAAATGAGCACAGCTTCCCACAAAGATCGAGAACAAACAAATATCTCTTCTTCTCTTTCTCTTTTGAGTTACAACGCTTTTAACATCAAGTTACATTTTCTGTGTGGCGTGCTTTTAATTTAACGGTTAGAGTCCTTATGAGCCAAACGGTCTCTAAATGAGTTTCTGATGCTCATAGACAGGCAAACAAACACTTTAATGTGGCCTCTGTGTTTTTCCAACTTCTCTGACAGCTCACATCCAGACATAAACTAGCACAGCGTCAAAACACATGTCGGGCTGTATTGTATCTGACATATTTTATGCAGCTATTCATGAAAAAACAGTTTTCTCTCTGTATGATGGTTCAACATGTTCTCATTGACACATTTCTGATGTATCAAACTTTAGCGTGATACCTGGAGGGAGAGCAGCAGGAAGAGCGGCCTGTCTGCAGGGTCGTGACTCTCGAGGATCTTGCGAGCTCTCTGAGTGAACAGCGTGGTGGAGTATTTCCCTTCCTGGCCCCACGCCACGCCCTCGTCATCATGAAGATCATACCCGCACAACCCTGGGCCATCACAGGACCCATAACTGGAGACAGATGGAGAAATGTGAGTTATTGAAATACTGAGTATAAAGACAGAAAGCGAACTGCCAACTTAGTAATTCTTATAGTAATAAATTTACCTGTAGTAATCCACACTTCCTGTTAAAGAGCCAAAGAAAGTGTCGAAACCCTTTCTGGTTGGCAGGCATGCTCTCCTGAAGGGAAAGTGATAAAGTAAACTGAGCTCCACATTTCCATCATGTTGTTAGACACGTGCAGCGTACAGAGGTATTAAGGCACCCTGTGGAGCTTTGTTCTAGGTCTATTAACAGTCTCAGTTTCTCAACAAAACACATTGTGTCTAACCACGAGGCCCAAGCAAAGTGTTGATGAATTCCCTTCCTTTTAAAAGATTTGCAAAACCGCCTTTCTATGCATAGGAGGCTTATTGTTTTCGGGGTTGTACGTGCATCCATCCGTCTTGGACACTGTATCTCAGTAACGCCTTGACAGAACCTCTTCAAATTTGGCACAAACATTCACTGGGACTCAAGGATGAACCGATTGGGTTTTGGTCAAAGGTCAAGGTCACTGTGACCATATAAAACGTGGTTTTGGCCTTGTGAATGCGATATCTCCAGAACTCTTCAAGGGAATCCCTTAAAATAAGGCTCAAACGTTCACTTGGACTCAAAGACAAACTGATTAGATTTTTGTGGTCAAAGGTCAAGGTCACGGTGACCTCAGAAAACACTTTTAGTCGTTACTCAAGACTTCACACAGAAATTATGACAAAATTTCACACAAATGGTTCATATTTTATATGACACTGGCTAAAAGTCGTGTAACCTCAAACTAGTCTGAGTGGCAGAGACAGACAGCCGCGAGGAGGTGATTCTAGTTTTTTTGTTGTGCTTGTCGTCTTCCCTGTGTTCGCATATTACAATCAGCGATCAGTGGAAGAGTGTGAAATCATTTACAGGTGAGAAACATAAATCGCGTCACCTGTGTCCTCTTGCTTTTGCATGTGATACAAACAAACTGTGAACCCACTCATCATAACCCTGCTCTATAGTGCTGCTTGTGGCCCGAAATCCCCACAGGGTACCTTTAACCTTCAAAACGAACAAAAAAATACAATATATACAGTGGTTCAGCTCTATTTATTCACCTTATTACCAACTTTTTCACAGAGCTGCAGCGATAGCTCACAAACTGCTTTATTAGGCTCTCCTTATTCTAATGTAACCTTAACACCCAGCCACCTTTTACTGGTGGTCTGACTAAATTCAAACAAATGACACTAATTTTGATTGAGAGACCATTTCGCTGGATTTGGACATAAAAAACAAACTGCTTACAAAGTGTGAAGATATCATATTTTTGAGGTTGTGTTTTTATGCTCAGTTGTAGATTATTTTTACAACATGCCATTCTTTTTGAAAATGACCACAATAACTGACAACACGAGTCAAATCTATTCATATTCACATCCTACATTACGCCTGCTCACACTGAGCAGCCTGGCAGGTGAATGAGCTTATAGCTGAGCATAGAAATGATCATCTGATGATTAATATGTTCATATTTATGAAACTCGTAGCACTAGCAGTCTGAGTTCTACGGGTCGTGACTCTGGAGGTTCAACATAGCGGCTGCATCCCACGTGTGAAACAGTGTGTGATGAAAGGCCGAGGACCCAGACTGAACTTAAGGTGTCGGTATGTTTCAACCGCCGTGTTTGTTGGATGGTTGAACAGCATCTAAAACCCCCCTCCCCCTATGCTTTCCAACAGCAGATTAGGGGGAGATGGAACTTCTTCTTTCATTGTTCACACCATTATTCCTCTCACTTTTTGTGTGTACAGCCAAGAGCAACACTATAAATGCCCTTGAGGAAATAATTATCCCCATCCGAACATCTATCACATCCCCCCTTTTCAATGACAGCAACCTTTTCACCCCCAATTCAAGTGTGGCTGTTACTGATCGATCATCAATCGGCATCAACTAAATGATAAAATATCAGACTTTTGAGCCTCTGATTTCTTCTTCTTCTAAATCATAATTTATTTGTTAATAGTGACAAAACAATGAAAACACCTAGTCATAATCAGCCATACTAACACCTGCACAGTCTCCATCTCACCTGTAGAAGCCTAGGTGCCACTTGCCGACCATATGTGTGGTGTATCCAGCCTCTCTGAGCCTCTCAGGCAGCGTGTCCATGTGTGATGGCAGACAGCTCGGCTGCCTGGGTCTGATAATGGAGTGCTGTAGTCCAGTGTGGATCTGATATCTGGGGGGGGGGGGGCTTGTTATTGTTATGCTTGTTTTGCTCACACACAGGATCTACTGTTAGGCCTCACAACAGAACCAGGGACTCATTTATTCTCAGGTTGCCTAATCAATAATCAGATTATTCAGAGCAGCTACCTCATTTGAACCAGAGCCTCAGACTCAATAACTCCTCTGCTCTCTGGTCAGCGTCCACGTCTTTTGTGTCAGACCGATCTGAAGGGTTTGACGTTAACTTCTTTCTTTAATTTCATTTGATCTAGCTTCATTTTCAATAATCACTTTCTCTTTACCTGTTTCTTGTGCCTCTCCAACACATGAATTTACTTCCTGAGGATCGATAAAGTCTTGAACTAATAATCACAACATGCTGTAAAAAGGTGTTGAAAAATACCCTGAAACCATCTGTCTGTCAAACCAGAGTAAAATAAGACCAGAGTGTATAAATCAGTGCCCAAAGTATTTGTCAGACGATGGTTTAAGTCATTTTTAGTCAAAACTTTTAAACATTTCCTAGTTTCAGTGTCTAAAATTTGCCGATTTGCTTTTTGTCCCTGTTTTATGTTTCTGTAAATTGAGTATTTTGGGATTTAGGACTGTTGGTAAAACAAAAAAGAAGTAATAAAACTTTATTCTTTATCTATTTTCTGATAAAAATGATCAAAGTAAATAATAAAAAAAAATGCAAAAGACTATATAGACTATATATAAATACAAATGATCATAACCTACAGCCCTACAACAAATACTACTGCTGTACAGTTTTATATTAAAACATGTTCAACAGGGTTAAAAAAGAAAAAAAAAAACAAAAACAAGAAAAAAAAAATCAATGTTGCTTTAACTCAAGAATATCAAATATTGTATTGATCACCAATGACCACAGATATGTATTCAAAATCCAGCATGCTGTCTAGAGTACTTTGTATAACAGGCAGTCGGACACATTGCCCACATTTGATGCAGGAGGTCAGTAAAGAGACATCAGTACCTGCCAGTGATGAGCTGGCTGCGTGACGGCGTGCAGATGGGCTGGACATAGTAATTCTCCAGCGTCACGCCCTCCGCCGCCAGTTTGTCCAGAGTGGGAGTCTTGATGGTTGGGTTATGGTAGCCGATGTCATTGAAGCCCTGTGACAGAGTCATGGAGGCATTAAAGAGCTCTGTTAATTGTTTCATTATGGTTGTCATTACAAAAGTTACACACTTTCTAATTCCTGTCCGGTTCTTTATATCCTGGAACCATTTCCAGCTCTATGTATTTATTTGTTTACACCACCGACCACCAGGCGGAGATAAGTGAGATAACTGATGGAGGTTAAGGAGGTCAAGGCAATCAGGTTCAGGTGTGTTGCTGCTCTGTGTGAGAGGCAAACAGTTTCTCACCATGTTCAGACCTTGCTGTAACCATACCATGCGTAGTTTATGGTATGTACCTTTCTTGGAACATTTGTTTTATTTCATGTGAAAACAATATTCGACAACAAGCTGTATGGACCTGTATAAACTGGTAATTCTATTGGAAGCGTGTAGCACTACTCAACCTGACAGCAGCCCCTCGGTGGCTTTTTGACAGCAACAATTAGTCACTATAATGCAACTGGTTTTGCTAACCTGAAGTTATGAATATGTTATATCTGTAATATTTGTTTTCATGCTATAGATGCTGTACCTTTCAAACTTAAATTCATGTTCAAATTGTTTTGTAAAGATCAAATGCTAACACGCATCAGAGCTCGCCATCTCTCTATTGTATCTAAGCTGGAACCAGCAAATATTTGGCATATTTTCCTTTAAAAATGACTGTAATGATTAACTGATTATCAAAATAGCTCATTCATTTTCTTTCCATTGACCAATTTTCAATTACTTTTGACTTGGCACACTTTGCCATAATGTTAAATTACAATGATGTTAATGTTATCCTTTTGGGACCCTATAATTTGTAGTGCACAATATGCAGGAAATCATCTGTTCTCATATAAAAATCGTGTCATATATTTGAAGTTTAACAACTTGTAATGTGTACAATGTATTTGCTGCTATCAACATAATCAGCCAAATTCGAGATTTGAGAAAACACACTCTCACACCGGCTCGTTCACACACACACACCTGGTCGTCCGTGAGGATGAATATGATGTGCGGCTGGTTCTTCTGCTTCGGTTCTGTCTCATCATTCTGAGTGTTTCTGTCGTTGTGGTGCTGCCACTGGTTTGGTTTGGACCTGTGGGCACACAGGCCGTCCAGGCTGAAGAGAACACTGAGCACAGTCAGAGCCAGAGCAGCAGCGGCAGCCTGCATCTTTACTACAGGAGCCCTGCAGGGAACAAAAAGAGAAAAGAAAAAAAAACATAACAATGCAGCGAGAACTTCTATGAACCAGGGAAGTATAGCTCAAAAATGTTTGAGTCGGCACAAATTCACACAAGCATGCCATCGCTGGATGACTAACTGTAGATCATAAAACCACATTTGAGATGGACTTGCCAACTTGGCTGTAACTGTGATCTGAAACACATCCATCTGCTAGAGAGGGAGAGCGAAAAACTCTGAGGAGGGCCTTTTAACCATTTATAATCTTTGGAACTGAAAAATAACAATAAAAAATGATGAAATTATTGGCGTTGCCTGAGAGAGCACAAACAGAGCAGAGCAGGATTCAAGACTGGGTGACGACTTCTCTCACTGTATTTTATAGAATCTCTTACATAACACAATGCACCGTACTTACTGTATTTTACATGTACAGTGATGTAGTGTTTTTCCTGGAAAAACAACTGAGGAACAATTTATGTATAAAATAGCCAAACAGTTCAAGATATTTTATCACATTGATGGTAAAAGCAATACTGCACATTGATTAGCAAAATTAAAGAGAGAGCTATTACAGTGTACATGGTGTGACAAAATATGTCAGTTAGCAGTTTTTCATTTCACAACAGTGGTGGACAGTAAATAAATAAATTAAAGTACTGTACTTAAGTATGATTTTAAGGTACTTGTATTTCCATCTAATGCTGCTTTATACCTCTGCTTCAATACAATTCACAGGGACAGAATTTACTTTTTACTCACCTACATTTGATATACAGTAACTGTGTCTCCAGATTAAGATTTTCAACAAAAAACAGTAAGTCTATCAAATTTGATGCATTTTTGAAGATTAAGTCGGTGGTTCCCAACCTTTTTGGCTTGTGACCTCTAGTTGAGGCCTAACTATTCAAGGCCTTTAAGAGGTGACATTTTTTTCAAATACAAATTTGTGTAACAAATCTGACCCCATCAATGATATCATGAGCCCTCAGATTTATCTTGTGACCCTTAGTGGGAATCCCGACTCCCAGGTTAATGAAACTGGACTAAAGAACCAAACTGTATTTAAAGTACTAACTCCACCTCGAGTAGCTACACACTAGAATGCTTATGAAAAAAATGCTTAAATAATTAATGCATCAGTATTAACAATCTAATAATCTCCTATATATTAAAGTATCGGTCACAGCTGCCAATTGTATCTGCTTTACCTTTCTTTAATCTCAATACGTTAAGTGCATTTTCTCATAATACTGTACTTTTATTGAGGTAGGTTTTTGAATGTGTGACTTGGAGTATTTTTTACATTACTCAATTGGTTCTTTTACTTAAGTAAAGGATCTGAATACTTTTTACTCCACTGATGGTATATATCATCCTAATCTACTTTTAAAAAACTAACCTGGTTTATTGACTAAATGAATTTGTGGAAAATAATGAGTAATTTACTATTTATAACTACTAAACTTTCCATTTTCGTTGAGACTGTCCTGAGTTTTTAAATCGTGTTGCAATGGATTTTCAAGCTTAAATAGTTATTGTCACTCTTGACTGATCCATCTGTTATTCAATCAAATACTCAACTGATTAATTTTTTTCAATAATTGTGAAAAAGTTGTGGACGATATTGTTCACATGTTCTGAGAGCCCTAGATGACATCCTCAAATAGCTTGTTTTTCTTGACCAACAGTCCAAAACCCAAAGATATTCAACTTGCAATCACATGAATCAGACAAAAAGTAAAAGAAATATCAGATCATATCATATTTGAGAAGCTGGAACCAGAGAATGTTTTAGTATTTTTGCTTGCTACACATTTAAATTATCAAACTGTTTCTGACGAGCGATCCACATCATTTCAGGACAAGTAGAATCTGGATTGCGTAATATTTGAAGGTGCCACTTGTATTTCGTCATAACGCTTACATTATAATGTAGGCTAATTCAATATAATACCACAACATACTCTGACTGACAAGTTAGAGTTTATTAGTTGAATAAAAACCTCTCTGTGTCACAGAGTGTCAACTACAACAGAAAATGAAGCTTCTCACATCAGATTTTTACTGGAGTTTTTATTGTCTTCAACCCTTTATTTTCTCAGAGAACGCTGCAGTTTAATATGCGTCTTACTGTTCTGTGAAAGGAAGGGAGAAAGCAGGTTGTTCGTGTCTATATAATCTGAGACATGTTTACAAACTTCAAAGCCAAGAGCAGCCATCAGTGTTGATATGTGAGAACTTACTCAAAGCAGCTGTCTCAGCTTGAATGGTCACAAACCATTACTACTGATGTGATGAACTGGTTTCCCATTAGGCGAGATACTGGTGGTCATGGGAACAACAGAACGCTTTTCCTGTGACAGCCTTGACTGTGATAGTTGAGACTATGGAAGCAGAGGCTGGTCCTGCATGAAATGTGTTTTAATAAAGTCTGCAGCTTTTGTCAAGTTTAAGAAAAATGACGTTAATGCGTTAATATAAATACAGTATTTGTTATTATCAGGTTTCATTTAGATTTTGAGTCTGACATCATAGTTTATCCAAGTGCAGATAATATAAACAGCTCCGTGACATGTTTAAAATCAGCACATTTCCCATTGCATCTATTCCTAAAAAAAAACAAAAAAACAGCGGTGTTATTTCAAAGCCAGGCCCAAAATCAATACCTCGATATAGGATCAATGGGAGTGAACGGCTGTTCTCCCCCCTCCTCTCCTCTTCCTGTCCGCTTCGGTTCAGTTCATTCTTCACACTTCGGATCTTTCTTCAGCTCGGAGAAAGGGTCGGTTTGACTAAAGTTTGTAGAAGACGCCGCATGTCCTCAAGTTTCCACAGAACCTTCCTTCCTTCAGGCTGAGCGTCCACACTCCCAATGAAAAGCGAGCAAAGTCAAGCCGGACACAACTAAACGGTGACACTACCGGTCTGACCTGTCAAAATAAAACTCTCCTGCAATGCGTGTTGCAGTTTTAAGCAATAACCAAACAGGAGGTGTGCAGTGTTAATTTAATAATTAATTTTGTTTGCAACTAAAACTACCTCTCTAAAATAAAATGACTAAAAAAAAATGTCCCAAATTAACAGTTAACCATAGCTTGCTAATTGTTAACCCTTAGTTCCAGGTGTTGTGTCAAACTCTGTTTCCCTTTCAAAGTGTGTTTCTCCTTCTCTATAATTGTAGGCATTATTGTCCCGACTGTCATTACGCCATTCTCTGATTTGTACGGCTATAAATTTTATGTTATATTAAAAAGCTGTTTATCATGCTGATTACATTTGGTAATGTCTCAGATGTTAAATTAACATTTAATTGTAAGCTAACACTAGTGTAAAGCTAGCTAACGCAAACTAGACACATTAGAACAGCATTAGATTGACTTTTTTTCTCAGTAGTTTCTGAATAATAGCTTCTCTCATCACATTTTTTTCAGTACAAAACTTATATTTTAAAAAAAACTTTAAAAAAACAAATTTTTTTACCTATATGTCTACACTTTTATTTTGAAGGCTGAATTGCTTAACATCCGCTATTCTTGAGTTAAATTATTTAACTTGACAAAATGGGAACACGGTTAAAGCTCCTATTCGTTCATAGGGTAAACGCGTTGTTTTAGTATATTTCTTGTATCTTTTCATTATTGTCATCATAACTTAGTTCCCCGCTTGTGGTTGTGTGACCGCGCAGAGCACATCAGCCGAACCGAGAGGTGTGACTGCAGACTGGACTGGTTAGGCGGGCAGAGGAGCCAGCTGGCACTCCAGAGAAAACCAGGAATCTCGCTCTCTTTACGCAGCGGACTCTACAGATGCAAACCTGCATCAAGTCGGTCAAAAATAATCACGATTAGACCGGAAATAAGCCCGATCAATCAAGAAATAAAAGCTCCAATTATCCGTTATGGGAAATAGGGTATACTGCAGCAGTAAGAGCAAGATTAAAAGTAATGCAAATATAATCAACAAACGCTAAACATTCAAAGCATCTTAGATGATACCCAGCCCTAATAAGATGTTAGGTTCTACCTGTAAAATATCCAACAAAGATCAAATGATGACACTCCTTATTAAATCAGGTACAGAATGTGATTGTAACAGTAGATCGACACTAGCTGTGGCTAATTCCTCAGTCTGTGCTTTTATTTTGAAGGTTACGATCAGTCACTATTTGTGACTTTTTTAAGGATGATGGAGGGATGGATGAATTGATGGAATGTATGACTGACAGCAGTTATTTAAAACACTAAAATTAGGCAGAACTGGAGGAAAACTTTCTTTTGTCCCGGAGGAAGAACTCCTTCCAACAAGCATTAAAGTCCAATTTATTTGTTCTGACTTCTGTCATTTCAAATTCTTTCTCTCTATTTCAAATCTCCAAGCAGTCCAGACAGCAGTGGGACTCTCTGACTCTGTAGGAGAGCATCCCAGACCGGCATTATGTCCCACTCCAAGTTTCCGACAAACAAAGCGGTGAAAGAAGTGGTGTGTGATTTATTAGGGGCTTATTCACTGGCAGTGAGCAATACATGAAGGAATGTTGCCAGACATTGTTGTAGCTCCTTAAAAAGAGCAGTAGTTGTTACTCAGACTTTAAAGCACACAGATAATGTTTTTAATTTCTCTTTTGAACCAATACTAATTGTTCAGGCTTTTCATGGTTATTATTATTATAGGTCTTTAAGAAATGTATCCATGGATAGATTCATAGAGGCTATGGAAGCCCATTTCTGCCAGACAAAGAAAAGACAAAAGAAGAAAGATAATAGGGTTGTCAGGGACCAAACAGTGAGGCAACAAGAACACAGGAGTTGTTGTTGAAAAAAAACAGGGCTTTTATTTACCCAAATATTACAAAATAAGAGTATAATAATTAGGCCAATAAAAGAGGTCAACAAAACATAACTATATTCAAGATAACAACTAAACAACGTGTTAACTGAACAAACTGACCCAAAACAATGACACATGAGGGAACATATATGTAGTGGCTTGACCAAACCAAATAACACACAGAGGGGTTAAAAAATGGACGCCAACTAGAACTAAATAGCAAGCAAAGCTACCTAAACCCAAAATCTCCCCCATGGGGCATCTACAGTTGGTGTGGGCCAATCAGCTGGCTCCCAGATTGAAGAGTCCTCAGCCTTTACACATGCCTTTTTCTCCACCAGGAAGGGACATCTCAACAAACACTAACTCAACACAAAGAAACAAATGATTAATAAAACAGAAAATTGCCTCTGTAACCCTACAATGTTAAAATGTGTGCACTCCATACAAAACAATGTAAGGTTAAAGCAAATAAACAAATAAAGCAATTAAAATGGTATTAAATGTTAAGGTGTAATTGACTACAAATGATATTGTTTGGGTGTGGTTGACTGCAGATGAAAACAACCTATGTTGGTAACTAATGAGGTGAATTAGGATTGAAATGATATCACCCTGTGTGGTTGTCCTCCTGTGTGGCTGTGGCCATCACAAGGCTAAATAGAAATACTCACTCAAGTAAGTAGTATGAGACACTTAATCAAAATTTTACTTTCAAGGTCAAAAAGCCCATTTCTGCCAGTAAAAGAAAAAATAAACAAGAATGAAAGTTTACCGATGACTATAAAAATAAATACTCTCACTATGAGACAGTAAATCCAAATGTCGACTGTCTGACTGAATTATGACCTACGAAGTCAAAGCATGAGATAGTATGTCAAAAATTCTACTTTTTTGGTCAGTAGTATGAGATATTAAGTCACAATTTTGACTTAAAGTGGCAAATTATTTCATAATATTGCTTCAATAAGTCAAAAGAAGCAGTTAAAATTTACTGGAAATCTCATACTTTTGACTTAAAGAAATGTCTTATGAACACATAATTTCTCGTAATAGCTGCTCATAATTTTGACTCCTCTTGAATAATTTTAGGTTTTTCCATATCCTACAGCTATAAATGGGCTTCTATATGGAAGTACTAGTCATTTTATATTTTTGTGCATGGTGGATTTTCAAATGTTATTAAATGTTTCCAAGGTGGGTTATTAAATTTGTTACTCACAAGTAACAAATTATGAGACACTAATTATAAATTTTACTTGATAGGTCAGAAGTATGAGACACTAAATCTAAATTTTACTCTATAGGTCAAAAAGCTGACTAAAAAAGCCACTTTCTGCAAGTAAAAGAAAAAATGTGAGATATTAAGTCATAATTTTGACTTAAAATTACAAAATAGTTCATAATTTTGATTCAGTAAGTCAAAATAAGTGGTTACAATTGACTGGAAATGTCATACTTTTGGCTTAAAAAGTCACTAAACTCATAATTTCTCATAATAGCTTCTCACAATTTTGAGTCATCTTGAATAATTTTGTTTTTCAATTCCTTACATTTTTTTTTTTTTAAGTATAGTCATTCTTATTTGTTTATTTTTGTGCATGGTGCATTATTAAATGTTTCCAGAGTCCATGAACGTCCTTACTCTTAAATTATTTTAAAGTGTACAATTAGTGCACTTACTTTGCTATTTTATTTTAAATCTAGTTAAATGTACCTCATTGAGAAGTGTGTGTGTGTGTTTTTTTTTCACATATATTTGGGCGGTAATAATAAAAAATATATATGATATGATAATAAGTCTTTTTATAGGCATATTATTATCCTAAATGTGTCATCCGTATATTTTAGTCAACGCTAATAAAACACAAATCTCAGAAGATGCTTCTGTAGTCATCGTCCACGCTTCCCCACTCCACTTCCCATGCTGCATTTCGAGGGGGGCGTCGACAGCGCACATGTGCACACGCAGAAATAGCGAGCATGAACTGAACTGTTAATAACTCGTCAATAATATTCCACTTTTCTATCCCGTTTCCCAGTCGTGTCAGTGGGTCCAGCCGGACAGCATGGCCGCGGAGGAGGACGACGCTCTGCTCTTTCTAATCTACCAGCACCTGAAGGTGAACGGCTACAAGAAAGCAGCCAAGGTGCTGGAGAAACACGTTACTCAGGTAAGAAGTTTGGGTCCAATTCGTCAGCATTTGCAGTGATTGAGTGTAGGACCGACCTGCCTGCGTCCTGCCTCGCTGAATTCTTATCAAATGTGATTATATTGATGATTGTATCGTCATTTCCTGAGCGGACATGCCTGCTATGCATGTTAAATAAGAAACTGAATTAAATATGACTCGAGCGTGTTTTTGCTCAGTGTTGCTGTTAGTAAGCTGCAGGTCACTCAGCCCTGTGTGTGTTAAAGCACATGGCTCCTTGTTCAGGCCTCCTGGAGGAAAAGAACATAATGTTACAGAAGCTGCATGGCTGTAAAAACAAGCCTGCCGTAGGCCTGCTGCTACACACACTGACTCCCCATTCAAAACCTCCTTAGGTTTTTACTGTATTTAGTGATTACAGTTGTTTATCATTAGTCAAATGTACTAGAACTTCAATGATTAGTAGATTAATCATATAGCCGATGAACAGAAAATTATCAATTTGATAACCGATGAATCCGTTTGAGTTGTTTATATAAGCAGAAATAGCCAAACTCTTGATGTTCAAGCTTCTTACATGTGAGGATTTGCTGATTTTCCTTTTCTTACATTATAGTAAATTGGAATATTTCTGGATTTTGTGCTGTTGGTTGGAAAAACCAGACATTTGATGATGATGCATTGATCTGTAAGGTGTTGTGATAGACATTTTTCACTGTTTTCTGATGTTTTAGAGATCAAATGATGAACTGATTAATTCAGAAATAGTATCGGTGAAAATAATCATTAGTTACAACCCTAAACTGTCCAACCCATGT